GATAACTGATAAACATACTTTTCTTTTGTATATAAATACATATTATTATAAATATACAGCGTGTCTTTACAATCGCGACAATAAATGAACACAAATATGGAGGATAACTTTTTATTTATTTTATAGATTAGTTAAAGGGTTACCTCCGGTAATTGTTCTGCTAATTACCCAGTCGATTTTGCAGTTAAAAAATATTCGATAAAGAAAAGTCGTTACAAATACAATTCATTATATCCCTCACAAAGGCATATAAAATTATATCGATACAATACAGATCATTAGAGTTGAAAGCATTCAAAATTTGCCTACGTATCAGAATCAGAGAAAATTTCCCTTCAATCAATTTGCTAGGCAAAACACCAAGTCATGTGCCACAGTCAGCCGTTGCGTTGAGGCACGTCACGTCATTACCCGCAAATGTCACATCTGACAGGTATTAAACTCGTCACTCAGGAGCCGTCAGGATCGCGTTACACGTATGTGACTTTAATTGGCCATGACAGCAGGCGCCATGTTCACAGTATCGTAATGTTACGAACTTATTCCTTTAATAAAGCTGTACAGATAACATAAACGCAAGATATTTTAGCGTGCCAGCTTCTATTTACTGTTGACCTTTGTTTTTTTTTATATTTATTAATTAAATATTTCTTTTATTTCTTCTATTTATTAAATTTTATTTTATTTTTAATTTGAAGGAAAAAGTAATGATTTTATATCTATTAGCACAGACTCAACAGCTTCCGTTGTTACACAAATGGAATGGCCCGTTCGGGGAAGTTAGTCACTTCCACAGCCCGACGTGAAGTGGAAGTATTATTATGCTTTGACGATTCAACTGGTAACTGAGGTAGCCGGGGCCACTTTTTTAAAGAATGTCAATACATCTGCTAGCCCTCAGGTGTAATAGATGTTGGAGGTATTCACTTAACATCAAGTGAACCGCCTGTTCGCTTGGCAACTTTCCCATAAAAAAATATTACAAAATTGGTTAAAACAAATAAGCTCTTAGCGGTTTATTTTCTTATACTTGTGTTACCATTATCAAAAATTTCTATTTTTACAAATTGTGTATATTAATGTATCAAATTTATTTAATGTACTACATTATTAGTCGGGAGAATTAGGAGAAATTAAACGGCCAATATCAATGTCATCACTTTATTTCCAATGCTGAATTGAATATTTTTATTTCTATACAAACAATTTCAAAATTATATGTTCTTAAATGCTACTTATAGAATATGAAACGAAATGTATCAGTCATGTTTGCCATCTAGACCATTTCTTTAAAACTCAACAATCACGCTTAACGCTTGGCCTCGCTTCAGACAACTGCTTTATTTCTACAGTTCGCTGAAACGTTTTACTTTTTACGTAAAACCACTCACTGACGACCAATAAAGAAAAATCTCACAAAAATATTTACTATTACACTTTCAATTCAACATCAATTGCCACATGGCGTACCAAAATGTCAAGTCTAAAATAAAACAGACCGAATGTGTCAAATAAGAGCTTTTTAAATTGACTGAGTGATTAGAAGTAATAAAATAAGATATTCGTGCGACTCTCGTAAAACATTTGCACAACAATTTGAACATATCGCTTTCACATACGATAGAGCACACAAATCACTATTTATATGCTAATTTATTACAAAACACACTTAGGTACATCACTTTATCTTATAGGTTAAAATTTATCGATATTCTCCAAGTTAGCAATGTAATAGTCCTCTCTATAACCCATTGCTGACGAACGTTTGGCGCTGACAACCGCGACTTTTCGTTGTGGCAACACTTCGGGGTTATAGAGAGGTTAGCGTTAGCCCTAAGAAACGTTTCATGGCAGTGTCATCTCCACCCATGGGTCACCATTTTTCACTGTAAAATCCATACGGAACGGCGTAGAAAAGTACAAAAATGGTCACCGACGAGCGCTAAGTACGAATAATTGATCCTTTAAGAGCTATCTGTAAAATACACCGAGTTACATACTGATAAACATTTTATATAATAACCATCTTTATTGGAATGTAGGAATAAGAGATATTTTTACAATGTTAATTTAATCTAGGCTTCGAATGTCGGATTCGCTTAAATTTATTAAACTCACGCCGCGTTGCGCCTCCGTTGTCATAACAGTGCGCCGATTGCGTTACGTTCGAAATGTTCTGAGATCTACGGTTCGTTATAATTCAACTAAAGTTGTACACAATTCACTTAAGAGCAACATTTTCCATTTAAATTACAATGTATGCTAACTTAATGAGCTACGTAAATAGAATTACAGTGCGCAAACTAACGTGTCGCTTGACAGATTATAAACCTATCACGCGACAGATTATAGGAAAATAGACGATTCGCTTAGAAAAATACTTTTGTCATAAGCTCATAAAGTGTACGCGGAACTTAAAAATGCATAAGCGATCTTCTTCCTAATTGTTGGGATGAATAATTTCATACGTTCATACGTATACTACTGCGTAATGAAAAGGCGTTATAATATAACTTAAAACTAATTTGGTAGAGTTGTTTCTCTGAAATTAAACTGAATTCAATTTGAATATTAAAAGCTAAATAGCATATAACAAAGTACACAAAGTTAGCTGCGACATACATCTAAAATAAATAGTCTTTATTTAAAAAAGTACTATTAGAAATTAAGTAAAACGCTTGTCGAAACAGCTTTCTGAAGGTCATTCTTTCACTACTAAAGGATAAGATAAATATAAAACGGATAAAAATCCCGAAATGTTCTCCTTATAAAGCTGCTTAAGGAATGATCCACTATGGAATTTAATAGGAATTTTCCCGTTCATGAACAATTCATAATACTCCATAGAGCATAATACATGTGTAAAAAACATAAATAATATATTTTTTTCTAGCTATTTAAAGAAACATGACATGGTAATCAGGAGCAATCCAAGCTATCACGGAGACGTAATAATCAAAGAACATTTGATACGTAAATGTAGTATTAAAATAACCGCCGTTACACAATAGATCAAACGTTAACCATACAATTCGTTGATATGCATAATTATAAGACACCTTGTATATTTTCCTAATATTAACCATATAAAAGTTACGTTAGGACTATGGATACTAATGTATATGTAACGGCATCTAGGCAATGTACATATTTACAGTTTAGGCCTAACAATAAACACATTCTCTTCTTTTAATTAATTCAATATTTATAACTACACCGTTCACAATAATAGGGGGGAGGGGGCAAATTATCTTTCTTAAACATATCATCGTACTAATAAATGGATAGTGCATTGACCCGAAGGACACTTCTGGTTTAACAGTGTGGCGTACGGAAACACAAGCTTTGTTCGACGAACGGAAGATAAAGAAAACCATCGTAAAAAGATATACATTATATTTATTATTATTCCTTTTTTCATCATATAGAAACTATTTCGTTACACGAGGCAGAATATAGAGGACTCTGATACCATTAACGTTCAACACCGCATCCTCACAATCTCAACGCATCTATTACGTCTGGACGCTATAGTTACAAAATCAATTGCATAAATAATATTTAGAGCAATTACACACTAAGGTGGAAAATTGTGTTAATACATTAAAAAGTAAAATAAAAAAAATAACGTAAAAAATATCTTACGGCTAATAAAGGAAACGTTTAAGTTTCATGAGCGGCGTCAGCGAACTCCTACCGTGATACATTTTCTACTGAAACGGCAGTAAAATCACTTCCGGTAGAGTGGTAGGAATTCCTCGGCCGCCGGACTTAAAGAGAGAAATAATGGCACTAACCCTTCAATGCACGCTTAAATACTTCACGTTACGCTTTCATAAATGCTGCCAATCAAATACTAGAAAATATATCGATGACCGTTTTGCATCGAACCATTAGCAGGTATAAAACTAGGCCAACAACAAAAACAAGACGGTTACTGGAGTAAGCTCTCCAAATTACCGTTCGACGTTCGGCGAACACTCCTTATTAAATACAGTTAAATTTTAAACACGAATTTATCATATCATTCATAGAAACACTCCGGGCGTCTACAACGCCCGAACAACAGTACAAATCAGTCATTCCTTATAACGTATCAACGCCACTCTCGTACGCCGAATTTCACTTTTTACACTTAACGCATCGAATCCATCCCGATGCCGGTTCCGCTGCAAGTCTCTAACAGTCCATTGGTTTGGTCGAAACTCGCTTTGGACCGACGAGTATGCAACTTAATTGACAGACCAACAAACACTTTCGGAACACGACGAAGAGAACTATTCTACCAGTGCTCGTCAACGGGTTAAAGTGTAAGTTTCGTTGCAACTTGCTACGATCGCAACGGAAATAAAACGGTCATTTAAACCAGTCACTAAGCGATATCGGACAATTTAATAATTCTTTTAACGTAACAGATTTCGTTATCCATTGTTATCGTATAATATTTAAGAATAAAATTCAACGCGATAAAAATCCTTCAGAAAGTTTTTTTTTAATAACTTGCTTAAAAGTATAATTATTTGAAAATTAAAAGTCAATAAGAAATACCTATATACACAGGGACAACATTTCCCTTTTTCAAGGTAAGATCGTTTAAAATACGATTGTATGTTTAGGTTATTAGTGTGACTGTGAGTGATGGTCTAGATTTAATAATAAATTACCGATATTGCTCAATAACCAATTTGTATAGTATTCGCACGTGGACAATTAATGTTCGGTGCGGGAATGTCGCTGTGTGGCGTGAACGCAAAATCGTGCTCCATTATCACAGGTCTCCCGAGGGACGCCTCGGTTCTCCAGAGCGGTGGGTCCGGTGCTCGTCCGGTTAGGGGTCAAGGTCGTTTAAAAAATCAAACAAAAAAAAAAAAAGGTGTTTAAAACTAAAGAAACGCTCGAAGCGGTAAGGCATCAACGGGCTCGGCCGGTTCAAATCGGCCCTTATGCTGTACAGCGTAAGGTCGCTTCTCGTTTGGCTACACGAGCCGGGCGCGGCGCTAGCACCAGGACTCCTCGTGCGGCGCCCTCTCCTCCTCTGTGTCCCCGTACATGTCCGCCAGCTTGCGGAAGCGGGGCCCGAACGTGGACAGGTAGTTGAACTTCAGGTCGCCGTCGTCGGTACCTGGCGGGGCAGAGGCCCGAGTAAATAAAAAAATACCGTCAAGCGCGAGTCGGACTCGCCCGCGAAGGGTTCCGTACCAATTTCTAGAAAAAAAAAAACGGCACAAAAGTCATGTCTGTTGTATGGCAGCCCCGCTTAAATATTTTTTTATTCTCTCTTTTAGTATTTTTTGTCGTAGCCGCAACGGAATTACATCTTCTGTCAAAATTTCAACCGTCTAACTATCACGGTTCATGAGATACAACAGCCTGGTGACCGACGGACAGGCAGACAGACAGCGGAGTCTTAGTAGTGGGGTCCCGTTTTACCCTTTGGATATGGAACCTTATAAATAATAATGAACCAAAAACGGCTGTGAATATATTAAGAGTGAGTGGTGCTGAAGACTAGACCTTTAGAAATGTGAACATATCATTGTGGCAATAATTTTAAGTATAAAGACTTACAGCTTGCGAGAGAAGAGAGAGAGCCACTAGTGTTGCCATCTCCCTCGTAAGCGTAGTGCCGGACGTCGTCGTACGGATTGATGTCCGGATCTCGGTCGAGGACGGATTTCTTGTCGTCCAGGAATCCGGATATGTCCGGCGCAGCTCCCACCACTATGGAGAAATGTTACAGTTAAAATATAATAAGTCTTAACTATAGTTACTGTTCAAAACAATGGTCGTAATTATATTCATAAAGTCACCCTGAATTTTGAACATAACTGGTAAAAAGACTAGACCTCTCACGGCCGGTTTCTAAAACACTGATCATCTACTAATCGGCTGTCAAATGGATTTTCAAAGGTTATTCGAGTTGAAATAAGAATTGTTCAACTCCTTGAATTGATCATTCTGATCATTAAGATGATCATTCTAGTAAATTTAGAGGGTTCAACGGTGGTAGGGCCACGCAGCAGCCTCGGCTGTTGCATGAATGGGCAGGCCCGTCCGGATGAGTACCACGACCTCACAGAAGACTAGCGTAAAGTGGAAGTATGACAAATACTTTCGCGTTTCGTATGGTGAGTGAGGTAGCCGGAGCCCAATTTTCAAAAGGTTGTCAACAGCATCTGTAACTCTCGGGTGTTCCAGCAGATGTCCATGGGCGGCGGTATTCTCTTAACATCAGGTGAACCGTCTGTCGTTTGGCAACGTTTCACATAAAAAAAAATCCTTTTGGCAACTAACATGAAATTTGGAAAGCCATTTGACAGCTGATTAGTTGCCATCTACGTTGATCAGTGTTTCAGAAACCGGGCGCCAATATGACACACCCACCAATAAAATATTAAAACTGCTATAACAGCGCGAAAGTACAATACTTCATAGCTATGGAACAGCGTGATGCGTGTCAGTAGGCGAAAGTGGAACCTACCGCCACCTTATTACAACACACATTCCCATTAACAACACACGTTGCCATGAATCTATTCTATAAAAACAAAATATTTGTCTTGTGTTGTCATTTTAGGTTGTTAATATTACTATAATTACTGTTCTTTTTTCTTCAATATTTTTCTTTGCGTTTTTATTTTATATTTAAGCTCTGTATTATTATGGGCAAGTAAGTAGATGAACGTGACGGAATAAACGTCTTTATGTCTACGTATTTACGTCTTTATGTCATTATGTATTTGTGTCTTGGTGTCTCTTTGTCTCTGTTTCTCTGTCTCTATGTCTTTATGTCTTTCTGTCATCGTCTTTGTGTTCTGTCTTTATGTCTAGTTGTCTTATTGTCTGTCTTATGACAGAATGACATACATTCTATCTTTGTATATTTATGTATTATTTATGTCGTTATGTATTTGTGTTCTTGTGTCTCTGAGTCTCTGTTTGTCTATGTCTTTACGTGTTTATGTCTTTCAATTCTGCGTCCTTCTCACCGGGAGCCTGCATGAAGGTGTGTCCCTGTGTCTCTGTTTGTCTTTGTCTCTATGTATCTATGTCTCTTTGTTTTTACGGGCTCTGCTCTACATGTTTAAGTCTTTGCGTGTCCACGTCTTCCTCACCTGGGGCCTGCATGAAGGTGGCGGAGCGGTCACCGTCCATCGGCGGCCCGTCGTACATCTGGCGCAGCACGTGCAGGTCGTAGCCGGCGTCGCCCTCGCCGCCGCCCTCGTCCTCGTACGCGATTATGTTCTCCCTTATGTCGTCCAGCTCCTTCTCCGCCCAGGCGTCGGCACGCCGCCGGTGCACCACCACCGCCAGCAGCAGTACTGCGAACGAACGAGGTTACTTCTCGAACTTTCCACCAGAAGCCGTACTGCGAACGAACATCGCTAGCGACTTCTCGAACTCTCCTCCACGATAGGATGCAAAGCGGGCTTGAGAACTGCTGACTGATCAATTCAAGAAACTAACGCCCGGTTTCTGAAACACTGATCAACTGATTTTAAATTGGTCATCCTGTCCATTAAGAAGATCATTCTAGTCAATTCAGTTAGTTTAACCGTCCTTTTGGCAACTAAAATGAAATTTGAAAAGCGATTTTACAGCTGATTATGACATCTACGATGATCAGTGTTTCAGAAACCGGGCGTTACTTTTGTAAAATATACAAGTTTTTATTATTTTAACGCGTTTTCATAAGTTTCAGTGTGGGTTTAATAGTCGAAAAATTTTCGCTACTTCCAGGGCTCAAACCTGCGTATTCTGCGTAACGCGCCGACACGGTTTACCAACGCCGGATATCCTCATGGCGTGAAAATCTCTACAAATATCTACTTTATTTGCATTTAAAGCAACGGTCACCGCAACCGTGACATACTTACAATTCACAATTCATTCATTAAATTCATCTATTAAACTAACCTTTTAAATTGAAAGAAACTAATTATCCCAATAATTATTTGTGGCATGAACACGATTGTATATAGACGTGTCTCGAAAAATTGCTATCGTTACAATGTATAGCGGCACACATGTCTTGAACCTCTGATATCTTCCACTTACTGACTAATATCGCTATGCAGACTAATATGGCGACCAGGAAGTTGGTGTCGATGCCGAAGGTAATCGCGGTGAACATGCTTTTCTGGCAGCTGGGATCAGCGTTGTGATGGACGGACGGCTCGCCCAAGTTGTACATCTAAACAAAAAGAGAACGATACCTTTAATAAACGAATAAATGTGGAATGTACAGAGAAAAAGAATTTGGATGGAAATGGATCGGCAAGGAATCAGGCACAGATAGCAAGGAAGTGTACGACTTAAAATATCTCTCCTTCACTATTGTGCCTTAAACTAAAGACAGATATATGGAAAATAACTATAGACGCACAACGTTATAATACTTGGAATTGTTATTTATTACAATTTTACAACAAGAAATCTTCGCAGTATATAATTATGCATATGCCAGAAAAAAAAGCAAATTTAAAGCTAAATTCCTGGATCTCCGAGACTTGACTAAGTATAAAAATTATAAAAAGTATCCGAAGTATAAAAATTAAACACTTATGTAGAACTGAAAAACTTATAAAACTTGATGGTTTATAAAATTACCTTACCAAGTAATTATAGATTGGATACAATCGTACAAAATACGCAGAATTAAAATTGGCTATCTCGGTTACGTTTACTTTAAATTATTATCACATATTTTCAGCCGGCTTCATTAACATGCGCGCTAAGTGTCGCCATAGGCCAAATTGTGCTGCACTCACGGCCACAATTCACAAGCAATTGTGCAGCGATAAGGTAATTGCTAGCACGACGCGTTTACGTAATCACTGTCCCGGACATAATTCTATTACATCCTACTGGCGCCATGCGGTGGTCAAGCTGCAGGAAAGGTCCGGACATTGCCAAGTGTCACATCGCATAGAATACAGAGGGACTAGACGTTTTAAACACTCTGTACTTAGCCAGCTTTGAAAGCTTTATTGTTGTAATTTAAAGGTACAATGTTACAAATACGATCATACGAAATCTTATACATTCATACATGATGACTGAATAAGATTGAAACGACCAAAGTGAATTAACTAATCATGAAACTCAGCGAACTCGTGTAGGAAAAGTTGAAAAAGGAATGCTTCGGTGGTATGGACACGACGAAAGGATAAATAGAGGGAGACTGAGTGAATGAATGAAAGAGATGTTTTATGTGTGAGAAAGTGGCAAACGAGCTGGCTGTTCACCTGATGTTAAGTGATAACCGCCGCCCGTGGACATTTGCAACACCCGTAGGGTTGCAGATGCGTTGCCACCTTTTAATAAAATGGGCCCCGGCTACCTCACTCACCAGACGAAACGCAGAAGTGTAACACTTCTACTTCACGCCGGTGTTCTGTGAGGTTGTGGTACTAACCCGGACGGACCTTCCCATTCGTGCAACAGTGAACATTTGAGTTGTGTGGCCCTACCACAGTGAATGAATGAACAAAAACTCGCTAAAGAACGCCATATTTGCGATTGATTGAATGCGAAGACATGGATGATGATGGTAGAGAAAGAATTTGTAATTACAATAACCTAGTGTGATTATTTATGCAAGATATTTACGTATGATGCACGTATATAAATGCATATAAAACAGAAAGGACTTTTCTTATTTCACAAAATGGCAAATGATTAGCGCCACCCGTAATTATTTTCAAAACCGATCAGATTGCAGATACATTGACTACTCTAAAGGCCGGTGTCAATATTCTATCTACAGATAGATTTGGTTACTAGTGATAGTTAATTGACATTGGCTCCATAATACTTACGTCAAAATTCTATCTCCTGTAACCAAATCTATGTGTAGATTGAACAATAAAACCGGCTATAAAAAAGAATACCTACCCTGATTACCTTACTCAACAGATGAACGGCAAGAGAAAGAAATAATAAATAAATACAAATACAAATAAATAAAATAAATGCAACAAATACAAACGCAACGAGACTTATTAAGCTAAATCCAAAGTATTTGGAAAGAGCTATATGAGTACGTTTACACGGATAATTATTGTGTCTCGAATATAGTTCGTCGATGCTAATGAAAATAGAACATTTGATATGTTTGCCAAGTTTGAGACTAAATAGGCTACAAATTGTGATTATTCCCGTCCCCCTCGCCGAGGTTAAAGACCTGAGAACTTGTGACAATACATTCTCGTTTAGATGACGGGTGAGTGTATTCGGTGAACTCGTTAGTTTTTTTTTATGACAGATGGTGCCGCGCGAGCAGACGGCTCACATAAAGGTAAGTTATTGACATTCATAACGCCCGGATACATAAAATAGGAAAGTAACAGCCTGTTAATGTCCCACCGCTGGGCAAAGACCTCTGTAAAGAGGATAATAAGCTCATAGTCCACCACGTGACCCTCCACTGCGGATTGACGGACTTTATATCTTCGAAATATGATTTTTGTATATTACATCGAAAATATTCAGGTTGCCTCACGATGTTTTCCTTCACCACGAACACCCGGACACTCGGCTATCACGGCTATAGAAAAATAGAAGGCTGTTTTCATTTGATTCTTTTATATATGTAAGGGTCTTATGTGTCCACTTCAAGTCTCCACTGTTGACTTCCCTCTTTGCCGCCTTAAAACTGAAGGGCACTGATGAGCTACCTATATATAAAATAAATTCGCTAAAGCAAATTTCTATTTAATCACTATGACAACACCAAAGATAAGTTTCCAAACCACTTACGAAGTCGTTGTACGTGAAATTGCTGATGCAACCGACGAAGTGTTGGTTCGTCGGCACGTGCTGCCAGCCGAAAGTCCGCGCGAGATACTGCAGGTCGATGCTCGCGCCACCCAATTGGAGGGGCCCGTTGACTGCGCGAAAAATTCACAGATAAACGTAGTCTAAACAATGAATGTACGTTAACTGAATAAAAAGAACCACGAGAGAATCCAGTTAAGCAGAATATTCAAGGAAATGCTATTTATTCCCTCACCTCTCTCCCATGTCTGAAGAACATTGCAAATGCACTATTTTTTTTTTATTTCAGAATGTGGCAATTGAGCTTACGGTTCCTCTGATCCATTACAGGTTCCGCCGCCCATTGACATTTGCAACGCCCGTAAGTTTGCAGATGTGTTGCCACCTTTTAAAATAAAGTATGGCTTGGCTACCTCACACACTAGACTAAACGGAAGTATAACATTTACACTTCACGCCGGTTCTAGAAGGTTGTGGTACTTACCCGGACAGCTAATATTTTACCGTCATTACGGATAAATACTATTGTAAAAATACTTTGTTTCAGTTTATCTACCATAAACACTAAAAGACATCCCAATCAAGATGAATATAACGCGAAAACAATTTCTCCAATGTATGACAATTAGTATCTAACATTTTCCTCACCGCGTCCCATTCTCTTGTTCTAAGTAGTTAAACCGACTCTTCACCATCATCATCCTGCCCTTATCCTGGATGGGTCGGTTTAACATGTGAATCATATTAATGTCCGACGGCCTGTCTGTCGTCAACAATCCTTGGGAAACAAACACCCAGACCCGGACCAAGTATCCGTGGGCCACACATATACTTGTCCCGTGTGGGAATCGAACCCACGACCCCCGACGCCGAAGCCAATAGCTTAGCAACTGCACCACCGAGTCATACCGTAGTTAAACCGTCTCTTACCATTCAGTATTTCCCGTGGTCCGGTCGGGGCTGCGAGGCTCATGCACGTCGACAGCTTGCACCTGTCCACGAACATCTCTATGGAGCTCCGCATGAGGACGATCTCTATGAGATGGGGCTTCCCGTCGGCGACGTGCACCACGCTGTTGTTGAGTCGGGTAGTCCCCGAACCGTAGTTGACCAGGAGGACGAGGAATCCGTCCACCAGTTCGAGAGACATGAAATCTGTGGACAAATGATAAGATCTCAATATGCTCTACTTGATGCCGTATGGTGAAACCTGGTGAACGTAATACAAGGGTACACCCACAATAGACAACAGCTCCGGCCAATCAGTTGAATAAGTTATATACTTTAGTTAAAACAATCATTACATTGTATTACAAGGATCAATACATAGATTGAGAAGAGAAACAGAGGACATTATTATTACCTGTAATTGAAATTAAACGTTTTGATACTCTTATGGCCGTTTTCACCATCCCTAGCTTTAAGGGACACTTAAAAAAAAAAGTGATAGTTTCGTTTTCACCACCGCCCATGGGTGACGCTTGAGACTACGTGATCGACCGCGAAAACGCGCATTAGCGTATGAATTTAAATAATATTGCATTAAACTATAATCGAGAATCGAACCCGTCTTCCGGAAGACTTGGGTTCGATTCCCGTAGCGACGAAAAACTTGTCGTCCATTTTTTCTACAAATTTTAATGTTCTATTTGAAATGCAGAGATTAGTAACTAATATACGAATCCGATAATTCCCTTTAATCTTCTTAAATATTGCCAGAATGAGCCAAATAAAATATCCGTCGCGCGCTACCACGAATACACTAGCATAATTGTTCCACTGGAACTAATCTGCAGAGAAATTAAGAAAATCATCTCACAGTAACTAACGGCGGCACGGCGACACATTGTAGCAATAGTTTCTCAGTACAATGCGAACTAACCACGAACTACAAAACGCGCCACGTTATAAGTGACAACTGAACCGCATTAACCTAAACACAAACAACATTCGAACACAAAGCCTTCCTTACGAATATTAATTACATACAAACAAAACAGCACCGAGGTCTCCATATTAAATAACAGGGGTGGAATTATGTAATCCAAGTAATAACACTGCATATAGAAACGGCTGCCTTATCACGCGAGGATCGCGTCCATAAATCATAGTATACACTCTCAGTCAGTCATTACGTGATCATTAAAAAATCATTACAGCCGTTGGCGTGGAGAACGAGTTTCGTGTGACGACAGAAACCTTATTGGACGGGGGGTCTCTTCAATGCAACGGGGTTGGAATTACATTCCGTTTGGTCCGTTCCGTTTTACTCTTTTTCTTTAGGGTTTAGGGTTGCCACGCGCCAGGTACGAGAGAGGATTAAAAACGCCCGAACATACAAGACGTCAATGCTGCAATATCGATAATACGAAATTTTAGGGCGGTTTTCTTAAATTTTCCGTTTGATAGCTAAATATTATGTAATGTTGAATATTTTGTTAATTGAAATTAGTCAATTTCATAAGAATTTTCAGACAATGTTAGGTACATTGTCTGAAAATTCTTATGAAAAAATCTCGTATGTATCCATAAAACTATGTGACAACAAGCTTTTCAGTTAGTTTTAGCAATTCATTACGGCCTGTCCCTTAAGTTCTTAACAACTTAGATAGGGGTTAATCTCACATAGTTATGATCATTGGATGGAAATATATATGAAAAAAATTACTATACTTATACTAAAATTAAAACAGTAAGCGCAATCAGATAGGTCAATGGTACTCTATTCGCCTCCATATAGTTTTTGTACGTTTGTTATATAGTTCTCCATATAGTTTTTGTTTTACTGCTACCAGTAATTCTCTATATCTTTATTGGCTATTTAAAATTACTCACAGCACCGTCTAGGCAGCCCTGACGGGCCCTCATTTGCCGGCGCAGAAATAAAACTTGGTTTCGAGCTCTTATCCAAGGCCCATTGTGAATTTCGTACGGAAATCATTATTCAAGTTGTTACGCCAATCTACTGTGACATATTCATTGTGGCCAGCGACATTGTTACGCTTTCCCGGTGAAGTTAATTCCAGTTAAAGACTCGGGCCGGTTTATTCGGGCGACTCGACAATAGTTTCATTGTGTTTTAAGTTAAATTATGCGTCGGCTTGTGCGCCTCGTTTCGGTGTTTTTGACGAGCATTGCCCCGTTTCAAGCGCCTCCATAAATATATTAGCACGCGCTAGCGACAGTGCAAACAAGTGCGGGTATTAACAGAACTGGGGCAACTTATCCAGAAAGTTCTTTAAGTTTAAAGTGATCAAGTTACAGATAGTATTATTTATAAACCATTTTTCCGTAATGTTCTCTCTCGATAACTGTTTTTTCGATTTACCGATTAGTGTTTAGATTATATTTTAATTTTCATTTTACAGAAAAACCTCCACTTACTCGTGTATAATAGTTAAACGCGAATATGCATGTGGCATAATTTATTAGGATAAAAAAAACATTCCAATTAATTGTCTCACAATTTTTTTTAATTATGTCAGGAGCTTACACGCAGTTACCAATAAGACTGAGCTATGCTACGAGTAGTATAACAATCTTTCGGTAAGTGAATTAATTGGATAGAACAGGGGACCAAATGAATTTTATTGGTACACAAAAGAGTGATTTAAATAAAACGAGGAAATAAATTAAGCGATAAAATAAAAGTTAATGTTAGCAACAGACTGGTTCGATGTAACAACAAAATCAGTCTGTCTCAACTTTACTATAAAGTCGACACACAGTCCTAGTTTTATTCAGTTATAAAAAAGAAACAAAGAAAGAAAGATACGTTTATTTGTTGTATAATCTTTGTATAAACTGCAGCTTTAACTATAACTCAAAACAATAGTTTTAATTGTAATGGGTCACTTAAAAATATTAATTTAATTGACATTTTTAAGGCAGAAATGCGTAATTTTATCCTTATAATTGCAAACTTGAATTAAAACAAATCTCTACCGTTAGTTATAGATTAAAAATGTATCGCTTTAAAGAGAGAAGACATCTCTGCGATCGAATCGACGCAAGCAATCGTGCGTCAAAATGTGTGCAGTACACTTAACAGGATTGCCAATTTGGCAACGTCTGGATATTGTATTTACTCTGGCCGCTGAAGCAGTGCCAAAGATCCGAGACTAACATTTCAATTTTAACAATGGAGCTTATTTGAAGGCGTTATTCGTTAGCGGGGCATTTTAAATTTTCACGAGGTTTAAAGGATTTTATTCGCGTCGAAGTGGGTCGAGCGGCTGCAGTACTAATACAATAATACGTCTCAAGTTTCAACTCTGGGGCTACCCGTCTGACACGACACAGTTATCAATTTGTAAGCCAGCTACGTTGGTTGAAAATCTGTTTTACGTTTCATTTAAAATATGTAGTATGGTTGGCATAATTTTACGGAAAATAAATATAACAAACGGTTTATTTCTTATACCCATATTTTACTTATAACATGATTAGCCGTATTTTGACTACTGTTACTAGAATAACTCTTTTCCAATCCATCGTGATAAATGTCTATAATTTTATTTAGTTCTTTATTGAACTAAATAAAATTATATTATAGCAATTATTACAATCGTAATAATAAAATATTTATTACGATTGTAGTTATTGCCCAGGTTATTGGCTAAGTAGTGTGGGACAACCGTCAACTGGATGACGAACTTTGCAAGTGTGCAGGAAGCCGATGGATGCAGATGGCTCGGGCTCTTGCTTCGTGGCAGTGTGTGGCCTATGTTCAGCAGTGAACTGAAAGAAGCTCAAATGTTGATGATTGGTTAAGATTTCGCTAGTAGGATAGCTCTTCGAACTAATCAGCTGCATGTGCCACATCAATAAAACTTACTATATTCAATAAAATCATCCAACAGGGGGGCGCTATAACGTTTCAAAACAAATTTCCTAAGAACTCTCGCGTGCCCACTTCGCGTACCCTTACTTTTAATTTTTGCCTTCTTCACACCGCATAATGTAAAATGAAAAATGCTAAATAATAAAAATGGGGAAAACACGCTGCGAAGATCGACCAAGGCTAACTGTTTACTACGCGCGCGGCCAGTAAATCTAATTGTAATGGTTAACTAATTAAAGAGATTAACGACTTATTCCGGCAAAATTTACCACTGGAGTGCGCTCGTTTGGAAAATGGACCTTTATCTTTTTACCAACCCAACTTTTATGTTTATGTCTAAAATGTTAAAGTATATAAAAAAGTATGTGTCTACTTATGTACGCATGTACAGACGTAACTAAAAATGTTCCATAATTTCTTTATCCTCTATGCCAGTACTCTTTGTTTGTGAAAATAAAATGAAATAAAAAAAATAAACCAATCGATAAAGGTTTTTTAAATAACTTGGAATTACAGGTGAATGTAAAAAGTTGTATATTGGTTGCCATGGTGATACCGTGAAGTAGGTCGCTTTGTTACTAACTTCACGGTCGGTGTGCACGTGCATCGTAAAAATTTTAATCCCATATTTTTTTTCCAAGCGCGCCAAAAGAAGTATAACTTTAAATGTTTACATAAACTCAATATATACAATGTAATTATTACATGTACATCTAGTCAACTTCGTATTTTATAAATCTTAGTCTACGCAAAAGTCTAGTACGCAATGTTTATAAATCTTAGTCTTCCATGTACTGGTTTTTTTGAAGTTTCGTTTCTATTCAAATTAAGACAATAACTTTAAAGGGAATTTGTGGTAAACAAAGTCTTAAGGATGTCGCCTGTCTCAAGTTGGCGGACACAACCCAAAACTTTATCACGAGAATAAATTCCCCGAAACAGTAATATCAGAATTTATAAATTTGTAGTTTGTAGAAGAATACGTTAAGATTTTCGTCGGTGTGGCAATCAGCCGTTTAGCTCAGTGGCTAGAGCGTCAGGCCGCGAATGCCGAAGACGTGGGTTCGATTCCCACAACGGCGACAATCTTTTCGCACTTTTTCTATATAATATTTTAATCAGAATTTATATCTTGGATAAAAACGAAGTAGTAAATTTCCCTTTTCATCCTTTTTTACATGTAATTAAGAGGCAGTGAAAATAAATATGAATGTAAATATAGATTTAGTCGTAATTTTCAAACTTTAAGCGTGGAACTGTAAAGTGTAAGTCTGTCCCGTGAATTTTCTCGTTATAATTTGCAAATGATATTTCGGTAAGTGAATTTAATTGATATAAAAGGCGACCAAATCAATTTTATTAGCACACAAAAGAGTGATTGGGTGTAAAACGAGGAAATAAAGTAGGTCATAAAATAAAAGGAAAGGTTAACAAAAGACCGTTTCAAACAACGAAAAAATCAAAGGGAACCCCGATTGAAGCCGAAGCCATGTTTAAATCGTTTAATTTAATGTAAAATTTATATAGAAACGTGAAAATGTGGGTTTCTTTAATAGTTATTACTGGATTTTGTTAGATATAAAATATTGTACATGATAATATTTCACTTCTACTTCACTACTCTAATAAACAATAAAATTTAATGCAATTAAAAAAATCCTTTCAACGTCATAAAAGAAAATTTGCGGAGAATTCTTTAGTTCGTTCTTTGTTTTTGGTAACCAAACCTAATGGTTGAGGTTGGTGAATCAATCAAATATCAAAAGTCCTCAGTTCAAAGCTAAGTGATATGTAATGATTTTCAGTGTTTCGGACTTTTATCGTAACCCTTAAAACACGTTAAAATAAAAACCGGATCTTACGTGCAAGATTTTTTTTACGTTGTATGTAACATCGTGTATAAAATTGTGAGTAGATTGCGGAGAGTCATCTAAGTACATGTTTATGCAGACAGCAGTAAGTTCTTGGCAAGTCAACCATTTGACATTCTTCTCCACAATATAAGATGTGATTGAAGTGTTTGCTTACGTTTGACACGTAAAATAAGCCTTTATTGCACAACACAATAAATAAGAACTCTTAATCATAACTCCATTCCGTTGCTAATAATAATTTTCATAATAATTTTCGTTTAAAAAAAAAAATCTGTAACATTCAACTTTTCGTTCTTTTCAGCCGACTGCAAAAAAGGTGGATATTCTCCATTCGGTTTTATTTTTTTATATTTATTACCTCATAACTCCGTCTGAGGTGTCATATTATCTTCATTGATATTGGACCCTGGACTCCAGAGATACAACAGAGAACTCTTCAAAATCTGATAGAAAATGTGTGTGAGACATTTGAAGTGGGCTTCGTGTTTTGTTAATAAACTCTATATAATTGCTCAAAATTTATTTTTGATGACTCTGTGGGGCATTTGCTTCGGTTGTCGGGGGTCGTGGGTTCGATTCCCACACGGGACAACTATTTGTGTGACCCTTAGATAGTTGTTTCGCATCTGGGTGTTGGTCCACGTGAAATTTATGTTTGTTAAACGTCCTTACAATACTGGATAATGTTATCCTAAAGTAAGGGCAATCTTTTTTTTTTTAAATCTAAGAAAAGCAGCTCGCGAGGATCGTGTTTATTGTAATTGTTGAATTGAAAACTTCTTGAGGCGCGTTGAGCACTTTTTGGATGAACAAAAATATGAAACTCGCGTCGTCGTCACCGAACGCTTTTTATTTATTTTAAATGTTATTATAATATGCATAACTTATTTTCATGTTAACAATAATTATTAATAATTATTTTATTTATAAATATTGTTAGTAGTCCTTTTAGGTATTCAATTCTATCGGCAATCTCCAAAGACTGCCCGACGTGTTTCTTTTTTTATTGTATTGAAAACTTCCAAAGCTTGGGATTAGCCGAGCTGTGTAAGCTCGCCGTAAACCTTTTGTTGTTTGGCAACACTAGTCTTATCCGGACGTTTGACTGTCAATTCGCTCTACAATACCGCTTGTTCGGTCGCGTTATCCGATGTGACGACGCGTGGAAAATTCTAGCACAATTCGAACGCTTTTTTCTTGACACATTTCAACTTAAAGCGGTATGCCGTTGAAGAAAAGATTATTCTTATTAAGGCAGTATCAGTCTCTCCAAGCTTTGCAAGCCCGTTATGAACAAGAAATTGCTCAATTTTCGTATACCAATTTTAATAACTAGGGAGCACAAAAACCATTTATGTAAAAACAAATATATAACAAAACATATTATGTACTATATTACTATATTATGTTGTACAGAGCTTTAAGAATCACAAATAAATCTAATGTGATTCAAAAAATTAATGTTTCGTAATGTTTTACCACCTATAGTAATTTTGTAAGACACCATTAGGAAGGCTTACGTTTACGTTTAATATAAACTTTGGTTTTCACCAAAGACTAAAAAGATAGTTAGTTCAACTAATAGAGTTCCATTAACGGAGAGACAGAATCGATTCAAGTTTATATTCAAAGATTCTAGTCTCCGGCGAGTTACTTAAAGTCGATTGCAAAACTTTTACAGAACGGACAGGGGAGCTAATTAATTGGAACGTGCCAGAGTGCAAATGCACTTAATGGGACATCGTGCATCTCGCTCTTTGTCGCAGATAGCGCTGAGATAGGGCACTGACCTTGAACGTCCAGCAGAGGGTTGTGCTTCAGCGGGCCGAGGTAGAACACGAGGCTGTTGCTGGCGTGTGACGTCACGGTGAGGGTGACGTGGCCCTCGTGGCAGGCGGGCGGGGAGGGATACATGGCCCAGCCGTCGCCATGGAAACCGATGGAGGTCTGCTCGCAGTGCGGGCCCGACAGGCCTTCCGGACACTCGCACTTGTCCGCGAAAGGTGTGCCTAGGGAGCGAATAAAAAGAGAAATTTATATATAACATACTATCTGCCGTGATAGATCGTTTTTCGGGCGCTTCCAGATGAACTGAACTGGACTTTGTCGTCCAACTTTTTTTATCACGTAGCAATTCTGCCGAGCCGTGACAGCTCAGTGATATGAATTTAATTATGAGCAACATGAGTTCGATCCTCGATGCCGGCACGAATGAAATAGTTAATTTTAAGCACCGACTTATCAAATGCTCAGCGGCGAAGGAAAACATCGTGAGTAAATAAATAAAAAAAAAAAAAAAATAAAAAAAATAATTTCGAAATAATAACAAAATAAAATATTTCGAAAATATCGAAGTCGGCAAACCGCATTCGGGTTGCTTGGTGGATTACGCCTTAATACCTTCTGTCCAGAGGAGGCTTTTGCCCAGCAGTGGGATATATAGGCCGTTACTTTACCTTACTTTACATATTAACTGCATGGTACACAGTTACAGTCAGTCAAAAAATGCACAATGTCGCGTCCCTAACACTACATGGCTTTAGTAGGGTTAGAATTAGTCCTCTGGTGCTATTGACCCACATTTAAATAGGTGTAGGTTCTATAGACTAAGCTGGTATTCCGAACGTGAATGTGGGACCGATTCGCAATCAGCTCAGTACTCTTCAAATCAATCAGCGGAAATAGCCTCAAAATACGTGTGAAAAATAAGAACTGCTTACAGCAAACTGCAAAATTTGCAGACTAATTTTAACCATTAAAAACATATCATAGACATTTTATACGACACCTTTAGAGATAAACTTCTAATTGGTATTGTCTTAATTCATATTTGTCCTAAAATAAATTTAGTGCCGTGAATAAAAGTAGGATAACACATATACCTAATACATTTTCTGGTTACTACGTTACAGTAAAATCTGATTTAGTTTTTTATGTAATAGATAAACATTATCATTCCAAATGGCGACAAAACTAGAGCAGGCATTCGTTGAGTTTATGAAAAAATAAATTAAGTTCACTTGAAGTTTCATTCAAATCCAACAGACTATAATTCATTTACTGAAATAATTGTTAACAGCTCTATAATCGATGATCGGCTGACGATGAAACGGCTGTTCGTTTATTTCGTTTAAATCGTATCACGATAATTGTGTGGCAATTTGGAAAGATTTCGAACGACTATTAACCGGTGGCGATTAAAGACACGTCAACTCACAATAGAGGAGGCAATGGTTAAGTGGCTACCAATGTCAATTAACTTTCCGTTTCTCGATATTTTTATGAGAATGTATTGTTCGCTGGACAAATATACAGAAATGGGAATAATAATAAAAACGGTATGAACAGAATACATACGTTTATTTCATTATTTTATTTTATTCGGTACACAAAACAGCAAACAGTAATATACACATCACAATAAAGTTAAATAAGGTAAAAAATTACACACTGTCAGCCAAAACTATGCGTACACAACATGCTACGATATCATGGCAACAATGTTTTCAACTTAATTTACACTAGAAAAAAAAACTATAAACAAAAACTGCTCAAAAGAAAATTATAAAAAACTATAAATGTGATAGTTTGTTTGAGCTTAATCGATCGATCCTCTATAAGGTTTGTGTGCCACTATTGAATTATGTTTGCTAAGTTACTGTAACGGATACGGATACTGGAACGATATTACTGTAATTGTAACGTATGTAAATGGAAACTGCACTATCCGCGACGAAGCCTCGGAGCTGGGATGCTGCGAAGCCTGTTATACGATGCCATCTTCAAGCGATTACGTCAGGGCCCATTGGCGTGACGCCTCCAAGTTGATCCGGAGCGATTCGAGACTCGCTAGCATGGCAAGAACTTTGTTGAACCGGAAAGTACGCACTGGCGGTTTGGCAAAACTCAGAGGTATATCTCGTTGCCAGCGCCTATTAAATGTAATTTTGTCGGATTAATAAACCGTTATAATACAACAAACGCTATCGTGTCTTCAAGTCAAAATTTCTTTATTCAATATAGGCTTATTTTAAATTGTTATTGATCGTCAAAAACCCCCACCGTTTCTCTAAACTAGACCTGACCAGAGAAGAACCGGCAACAAACTCTGCGGTCTTATATTTTTTTCTATTCTATTTTATTTTGAAGATAGCTTTTTTTAAGTGAACATAGTCGCCCAAGGATATCTACAACACCCGATGGCTTGAAGGGAAATGTCGATGGGCGGCGGTTATCACCTGACATCAGGTGAACCGCCAGCTCTTTTGCCCAATCTCACATAAAAATTTGCAGGTTTCCTCACTATTTTTTCCTTCATCACTGAGCACGTGATAAGTTAGTACTTCAAGTATCGAACTCAAGCTCATCTAGTATACCTTTATCAATTACGGCTTCATATCACAGAAAAAAAATACATAGATCTTATCTGTTCCTGTCCCTATGTTTATGTTTTATTAAGAACATTACTTGAGTTTACACAATCATGAATTTACATGAGCGGTTCGAATTAACAATTCGGCGACATCAGCTAGCAAGCTGACCACAAGCGGCACCCGTACAATCGAAATGTGTGAGCGTGATACTCGTAAAATCATTTTTACGGTAGGTATTAAAATTCTTACCGTCCGTTTATATAGCACGAGTCGGGTTTATTGCTCCCTTTCGGCTTTCATAAATTATTAGAAATAATAGTATTCCAACAATGGTGGACGCTTTCGAAAGTCGAGTCGCTCTATTGCCGTATTGTGGACCTGGCTATAAACCCTTCTTATTGAAATGGGAAGTGACCGGTTTACTGACCACCTTATATATGGAGTAACGGCCCATATACGTGCGTCGGGCGCAGGCCACACAAAGACTTAAGACAACCCTCAACAAGTCCCAATGTGAGTTGTCAGGCTTAATACGTTTCAGAAGTACTAGCTTATTCCTTTCGTATTTCTTTTAATGCTGCTTTCTTATCTACGTCATCGTAAACTCAGCGCACATCTAATATCATGTAGTGGACAGAGAGAGGTAAAGTTTTCCATCATTAACAGAATTTATTAAGATACTATTACAACGTGATGTAAGCAAGGCATTTGTGTAAATCAGTGAAATCTGCATGTAAGAAATCCAAAAAATGTGAAACTCACGTCCCATTTTCTAATATTATAAAAGTATTGCAACACTTGATTCGTCAAAAAAAAGTTATATTTAATTAATAAATTAAATGTTATGGAATATTAAAAAACCCAGCAGACATTATGATGTCACTGTTTGATTTATAAAATCATGTAAATCTTTTGTTTTAATTTTCCTATAGCAAAGAGAAATCAAAACTAGAAGTATATGCGACAACTAGTATGCATATTTCATTCTAACAATTTAATTTAGGAAGCGATGTATTTCTATACGCGTAGTAAAAATCGCTAGTATATATAATATAAAAGATAGCTAGAATACGACGATAGTAAAAACAAAGACTTTGTGTTGGCACGTGGGATTTTAGAAAAGCCTGTTGAAAAACTCACTCATAGTGTTCGTAAAGAACGCTATGATAATCTCAACATATTACTGCAGTGAATGAGGGAGGACCTTAAGGATGTCTAAACATAATGTGGATGTGTCGCAATGGAAGTAAAAATAGTTTATTGTTGGACCAAACATCAATTAAAAATAATAAATAATGTTTTAAAAAGCCCATCCGTGGCTTAATAAAGCCGTAAAAAGGTTGTGAAAAGCCACGAATAGGTTCTATAGGAGGTGTCGTAAATTTTTTCTGCTCATAATTTTCTTTAGGATTCCTTTTAATTTACTGAAATAAAGCTTTTAAAGGTCGACGGAATGAACTTTTAATAAAATATACATATACATTTACAGATAATGGCCGTAATGAAATAATTAATATCCTTATATCCTTAAATTTAATCCAAATTCATTATCATAGATTCTTTAAATGATAATAGATCAAAATAACATTACATTTGAGCTAGCTTATCTGTTCAAGAATCATACGTAAAAAACTGACTAAAAAAAAATTCCTTACATTGTGACCATGGCATCAAGAACGTAGTGTATTTTATTGATTTATTCAACGGTAAGTCACGATGGTATCTAATTCATCTTTCAGATCAGATGTAATGTTCACCACCCGCAGGTAAACTATCCATTACTTTCACAGGTTGTACTTGTATATATTAGAAAGTTGCACCAATATTTCGCTTTCTAAGTCAAGTGTTAAGTGGTAGAACTATTATCTAAGGTGCTTTGGTTCTCATCTATATTTTAGCCTTTCCTTACCTACGCAATAAATTTACAAAGAAGTGTGCAAGGACCATCGCTTACGAATGTAGCAATGGCGTCATTATTTTTGAATTGTCGACATCCTTTATCAAAATAATTAACACGTTTGCACTAGGTAAAAATTAGACAGACAAGACCTGTCATGTAGCTAAAGCAAAAGCAAAAAAAAAAGCAAACTATCCATCTAGTTAAATAAATATGAGACCATCTTTTATTTATATAAACTTTAAGTACCACGACCTCACAGAAGACCGGCGTAAAGTGAAAGTGCCGTTCTGCGTTTCGTCTGGTGAGTGAGGTAGTGATTAACTGTGTGAATCTTAAGTTGCTTTCTTCAGTTAACCATCTTGTTAAAGAAATATTAGGCAATGTTTTATTAACATGAACCGTGTCAGCCTTAAGTAACTTTCTTCATTTACCAATGTTTCGTTTTCGTCTTAATATAATGTGAATTTTCATTCTAGATCAAGCCCCTACCTCCGTTCAAGCAGACCAGCGGTTCCTCGACGTCGCAGGTGCATTCCGACTCCACGCGCGCTGATACGCCAACGAAGCTGGTGGTATTGGTGTAGACTGACAACGGCACGTTGTTCTTCATCAGGACGTTGCGGCAGGAGTCCTCGCACTGCTCCTTCTCGATCAGACACTCGTCTATCTTCACCATGTATATCTTGGCTTGCAGATCCTCCTCGAGCTGTCGGACGTTAGGTTTATTAGATGCCTGCGACGTATGAATAGTTGTAAGACATAGACCGTTCGTAAACAGTTGCTAACGACAACCTTGATTTAAGTTATAGGCTATAATTATAAGTAGAGGCAAATTCTTATTTATTTATATAAGTAGACATCTTTATTGCTACTAATAACTTATAACTACTGTTGAAGTAGACATCTCAGCTTGAGAGTTTATACAGCGTGTCTTTCCCATCGCGACAATACAGCGTGTCGTTACCATCGCGACAATAAATGAACACACGTCTAACGCTACTTGCCCATAATCATAAAAAAAATGTTAACGTTAAACAAAATCCATAATTAAAAAAAAATATTTTTCAAACAAACTAATTAAGTAAAAAAGAAACAAAATTTGTAACATCCTATACAACTTGCGCCACAGCGTCGTATATCAAGCCTCTGCTTCTAACAGCATGTTTTGTCTCTTTTAAATTCATTCAACCCATTCATATGCTTTGTGACCTTTACAAATGAACTTTACGTTACGCTTTTATAGGTAAGGGTGGTCTATCATCCTCTACACGAACTAACTCCTAATTCGCTATACCAAACACGTCGCGCAACACAAATAGCGGGCGCGTACTGCGAACGATGATCGACTCCGGTGTCCGGCGGGCCTGTTTGCAGGCAAATATTTGCGTAGGAGTTACCGTCAACAATGCACGGCGGTGTTTGGCCGGCGTAATGGGCCTTTGGAACTTAGACGTCTGGAGTGCATGTCGATTAGCGGGAAGCGGTTATCGGACATGCTGGCTTACTGGCTGGCTGAAGTGGCTTCGCTACGGCCAGTTGTTGTATCCGTGTTATTTGAGAAGTGAGAAATATAGACAAACGTCGGTTCTTTCTAGTTCTACGGGCGGGAGAGATTACGATTATCACTTCCGTAATGGGGACACGCTCTGAACGTAAAAATACATGTTTCGTTTTAAATAATTTTAGACTTAGATCTAGAATTTTTGTATTACTTTCAAAGCTCCCGACGTTTGTATAATCAGCACAAAAAACTCTCGTTGTTATTTCGAGATCAGACTAAAATAAATTAGTAGTAGTATAATTGATTTAATTTTAAATTATTATTATACTAGACTTTAAAAAAGGGTCTGATTACGGAACTTCTATTAAAGAGACGAACGAAAGAGGGCCGTGACAAAACCGAGCCCCTAGCTCATAACAATATATACGGTTTTATGGTATCGCGGGAAAATTCTTAAATAGAGTATTTGAAGATTCTCGCTATTGTCACGTGGTACTGCCTTGCAGTAGAAACCACTTCGTACTTCTACCCGTACCAGTTTATGTTTAACTAGCTGTGCCCCTCGACTTCGTCCGCGTGCAATTTAATAATAAAATTTCTAAAATAAAAGTAGCATAAGTTACTCCTTATGACATCAGCTATCTGCCAGTAAAAGTCCCGTCAAAATTGGTCCAGCCGTTTCAGAGATTAGCCGGAACAAACAGACAGACAGACAGACAAAAATTGTAAAAAAAAATGTTATTTTGGTATAAGTACCGTGAATACGTATTTAGTAAAAATCGGTTATTTTAATATTACAAACATTATCATCCACATCATCTTGCTCTTATACCACCTAGGTGGGGGGGTCAGCAGATCATGTGCGTTATGTTCTTTTGCCATGAACGGTATTGGCTAGATATTTCACCAGATGCCTTCCTGAGATCAACCCTCGTTGGGAACGAATACCCAGATACGGAACAAATGATATGTGAGTCACACACGCCTTGTCCCGTGCGGGAATCGAACCCACGGCCGGCGGCTCCAAAGCCAATAGCTTAGCAACTGAGCCACCGAGTCATTATTAACACTTGTACCACGTTTATAAAACGTTTTTACGCTTTAGCATTTTTAATAGGTTTAAGAACACCCTGTCTCTCACCTTTTCCTGGATCCCAATTACCATACTATCCAATTTCTCCGCGGGATAGTAGGGGGACCCGTGCGCTGCGAACCGGACATCCAAGAAGACGTCCTTCACGGTGGGTTTGCTGAACACGGTGAAGACGTCCACGTTGTCCATAGACGTGTTGTAGAGCTGAGCGAGACGGCGATGCAGCTTGTCCTTTTTACTCGTACCCTGTTGTAATAACAAACGAGTTCGTATTCACTTGGAATATGGTTATATCATAGCTTTAGTGATTGTTACATATCTTCTTATCTTTCCTGCAGAGGATCTTCTCTTTCCTATGCCTTTCCCTCCTGGGTAGGGTCAGCACAACATTTCAGTTATGTTGACTGTATTGACCGTTAACGTTATTCGCTAGATATTTTACCAGACGCCTACCTGGCATTAACCCTCTTTAGGAACATATAACCAGATCCGGAAAAATTATCTGTTGGTCACACAAATACTTCTTCCGTGTGGGAGTCGAACCCACGACCTCCAGCGCCGAAACTGATAGCAACTACGCCATCGAGTAAATGTAGCACATACATGTTTGATATTCATGGGCTTTTTATTGATACGTACAACAGAAGTATAGAGTTCGATATTAGACATTCTTAGACGTTAAAGTTATACAGCGTGTCGTTACCATCGCGACAATAAATGAACACACATATAGGGGATAACTTTTTAAAGTTGTATTAAACATTTAAATTCTTTAAAAATCAATATTTACAGAGTTATTAAATTTTAATGTTATTAAATGTTAATAATTTTCAAAACAAAGAATTTTAGAACACCCTTACCTATAAAAGCGTAACGTAAAGTTCATTTGTAAAGGTCACAAAGCATATGAATGGGTTGAATGAATTTAGAATTTAGAATTTTGATACAAAACATACTATTAGAAGGAGAGGCTTGTAATACGACGCTGTGGCGCGAGTTGTATAGGATGTTACAAATTTTGTTTTTTTTTTACTTAATTAGTTTGTTTGAAAAATATTTTTTTTAATTATGGATTTTGTTTAACGGTAATATTTTTTATGATTATTGGCAAGTAGCATTAGACGTGTGTTCATTTATTGCCGCGATGGTAACGACACGCTATATGTATATAGCGTGTCATATCCAATGAGGGAATACCAGATAATAATAAACTTAGAAAACTTAGGTTAACGTTTCAAGTTTTGACAAATTGTTCCCATCAAAAGCATCGGCTTGGAATAGATTTTTATAAAGTTCACAATTTTCACATAACTCCGTTTCTAGATCAAATACTACAAAGTCGCAGGAAAGAGCACGATAAATAAAACAGACGCCATCTTCAGCTCGTCCAAAACACTACAGCATTTGAAATTACCAGGTCAACATAAACACGGGGAATTATTGTATTATCCCTCCGTCACAGCGCCGCTTTTAAACAATAGCGAACTGTATACGCGCCGTTAGAGCGGGCATAAATTTGCAAATTAAACTATCGCGGTTAGTGGAGGCCTGAAACGGCGGTTAATGCGATAGCACGCGATACTTTCCAACTTGCTTTCTGGATCGGCCGGCCTTATTTACATAGGCGTTAGTCCATTTCAGCCCCTGTGCGTAGATACACAGGAATGATGCTTTTGTCTCAGCTTCATAAAGAGTTTCGTATTCAATTAACAATTTGATAATTTTGAGCGCAACTTAATAGTGAAACCGTGAAAATAGCGCTTTTTAATAAACTTTTACAAACATTATCGCGTTTAATTTCCCTTTCAAATTCCCTACATTTTTACTTTACCCTATCTTTCGGCGCGAGTAAAGTGTACCTGAAAATGCTTTGTATGACGACAATGCAATGGCAACACGTTACTGCGATGAGGCGTTTACTTAGCATGCGAATTTTAAATATTTAGCTGCATGTATGTACGTGAACTATCATTTAAAATAAAATAATTATATATAAATTTAAATTGTTTATAGTGCTAATCTTTGCACTTAAGGTTGAACATTAAAATATGTAGAAAAAGTGCGAAAAGATTGTCGCCGTTGTGGGAATCGAACCCACGTCTTCGGCATTCGCGGCCTGACGCTCTAGCCACTGAGCTAAACGGCTGATTACCACACCGACGAAAATCTTAACGCATTCTTCCACATTGTTTTCTTAGCATTTGAAGCAATGCTTGGCGCCATCTATTGTTATATCCTTTCCAGCATACAAACAATTTCCAAAATCGTTTTACAACGATAATTCGAACGAGAGATGTCAATGTGGAAGAATGCGTTAAGATTTTCGTCGGTGTGGTAATCAGCCGTTTAGCTCAGTGGCTAGAGCGTCAGGCCGCGAATGCCGAAGACGTGGGTTCGATTCCCACAACGGCGACAATCTTTTCGCACTTTTTCTACATATTTTAATAATTATATATTTTAAATTATAATTAATTATTTCAAAGTTTTTTTTTGGTTTTATTTCACAGGCGTGTAAAGGCAGTATGTTGCGAAACAGATATACTGACTGTTTGTTTAAGCCAATTCGATCTTGACCACCTAATATTCTTATAGACAGATATCGCCGGTAGATTGGTTTTATTTTCGTAATCTCGTGTAGTGTTTAATAAAAATTAAATTCAACAATATCCATTGAATAGAATTGACTTGATTATAAATCTAAAACCATTCATATTTGTATTTCCGGTAGCATTTGAAGACGACTTAATGTAAACAAGGACACACCTGGTTATATATACAAAATAAAAAAAAATTATAGCACTAAATTGTTAATAACTATTTTAAGACCCGACTTATTATATATTCTCAGTAGGGAAACATTGTGAGGAAACCGAAACATATTTTCGAAATAATAACAAGAAATAAATATTTCGAAGATATGTGAAGTGTGCCAATCAGCAGAGGGGTCGCGTGGTGGACTATGCGCTAATACCCTCTATAGCGGTATATATGTACAGATATATATATATATATATATATATATATATGTATATATATATATATATATGGACGCATTTTCCCGGCACTGGGACAATACAGCAATAGCCACGTAAATAAATAACATAGTGAGAGGTACATAGTCGCGACATCGCTGCATATGAACAGTGTTATTCGCGAATGACAAGTAATACATGACCGAGAAATTGCATTCTTTAGCAATCAAAAGGAAATGACAGACTCCGATGTGCCATATGCACATCTCGACACAGAAAAGCTTTCGTAACGATCGTCGCAATAAATTCCCGTCGCCCCAAGTCTCGTATTTCTCCGAATCGGAAAAATACTCCCCGCGACGGACTCGCAACTGCGCGTTATAAATCAAAAATATATTGTCAATAAAAATATAAATCCGATGCCAGTCTCGGCTAGTCTCGAACTAAGATATAAGCAATAAACTTATACGAATTCCGAGCTAGCTTTCGTGCTAGACAGAAAAAGAAGTATCGGGTCGCCGCAGTGCGGAAGGGAGCGAAATTTACACCGGTACAGTCGCGTGCGGCGGCAGTTTAACCGTTCTTCGCGATTGTGAGCTTTAACGCCCTGCAATAAGGGGAAGTGGACGCGACGGTTTCTCGTCGTGTGACCGAGGGCCATAACGTTCGCGGGAAACTAAATTCCGACGCGAGAAGCGTTATTCGGGCGTTTTACATTGTCGCGCCCGCCGTCTTAATATAGATCGTGAGATTATACCGTTACGGTTGTAATTTAATTAGCGGGTCGCGAACGAGATCGACTCGATTTTTTTTGAGGCTCGCGTTTGGCATCACGCATATTTGGAATGCCCTTTTGTATGCGGGCTATAAAATTGCTGAAAAAAGTTTTATTAAATTATAAAATGTGTTATTTATGTGAATAGGGGAGCTTTTAAAGCGATTATCTTTCCTACCCGTGATCAATTAGATATTAAAAGGCTACATATATTTTTTATACATAATTGTTATTAATTTAGAGCTAAAGTATACTCAATATCGTGGCTTAAATATTATAGAAAAAAAATATTATTATTCTCATATAATTCGGGGCTTTATTATCGTGAATTAACAATTAATCTTTAATTAATATAATTTAATAATTATATTTACTAAAACTAATACGCTTTAGTCACGGAAACTTCATTAAAAATAATGATTTATTTTAGAAGGGGATATAAAGTTAACCTGTTATCATTTCGTCACACGATAATCTTCGAAAAGGTATGTTACAAATTAGTTTAAAACATTTTATTCAATTTTATTTAATTACTTAGAAGTAGTAATTCTTATGTCTGACAAATATTATAATTATTTAATTACAAAGCTTTTCTACGTACTTAACTCAAAACGAAATAAATAGAACCATGTGTAGTATCATGGTTCTATTTATTTCGTTTTGATCTATTTATCATATATTTATCATATATTTATATACGTACGTATAACAGAATGAAGTACACATTTATAAGAAAACTTTTTATACAGAATTCATCCGAAACATTTGAACTGACTGAATTCTTTGATATTCGAAACAAAAGCAAACAAATGAACATAATTATATTTCTTTTTTTTTAGCGTCTGTAATGTCACCGCCGTTATAAAAGGCGTACTAACGCTGAATTTCGTTCTTGGGGTGTTATTAAGAGCAATTAACGCGTGAAGTAGTGAATTATTAAGCCCCCGAGTGCGGCGTAAGTAAATACGATGCAAACCTCGCACGCTATGGGGCCCTGGTACTTTATGGTGTCGAATAGAGACGATGGCAAAATGGTGCAGGTAATTTCTTATGCTCCTAATGCTTTTTTTTTCTTTATTCTGTTGGGGCTAGACAGAGACAGCGATATTTCATACTGGTGGCAGATGATAAGTTTATCACACGCTAGGCCAATGAAATTAGTGTCGTATCCGGAATCTAGACAACGTAGATTTTGATGCAGGTGTTATTTTTTTGTGTGAAACGTTGTAAAGCGAGCGTTTCAACTGATGTTTAGTGATTACTGCCATCCATGGACATCTGGACCTGGCAACTACGCCACGAAGTCATCAGCAGAAGTTGCACTATAACGTGTTTTCCTCAAAAATCAAAAAGCTATATTAGATTTAGAAATATAACTTTAACGATAAATGTCAACGGCATAAAAATTACCCGGTACTGATATGTACGCTGGTGTGTATTGAGGTAGAGCAGATGGAAGATCGCGGACAGAAATTCGTAGGCTCTATCTACCCACTGGTTGAAAAGCACTAGTGATTATGTATTGTCAACATTGTTGAACAAAGTTTTAGTTACAAACCACTGCATTGAATCAACTCTGAGAAATGCTTCAATACGCAAGTTTTCTTACCACCAAACAACTAACATCTATTCATTCATACGGGACAAATAAAATTTTATCGTCTTTATCTGCTGTTAGGGTTACGTTGATAGGAAGCAGTAATGCACTTCCGATCGACTCACGAGCCATATCTTTGGTCGTTTCTGATATCACACGGCACCTTTATGCCCGATATTTGTTGCAATAGTATTGACTACATCAAGTAGTAAGTAAATGTTAATCGATACCACGGCAAAATATTTTCGATTGAGATACTTGTCTTTATCATGGTACGGAGATCAATTTAAGCTGATTAAGGTAATGTCACCATCGCTCTACTATAACATAAAGGGCTGGAAATTAACGCAGTCTGTTAAGACCGGACATTTCACCTGATTATACAGTGATTAATTACGATGCATTGACAACCTTTAAAAATTTGGTTACTTCGCTCATCAGACACGCGAAAGTACGATACTTCCACTTAATGCATATCTTCACTGCACCCGCGGTAATTCCCCGGACTAGCCTGCCCATTCTTGCAACAACAGACACTGATGAGCGAATCTACCACAGTAAAATAAAACTTGGATAACGTATAAATATAGGCAACGCTCTTGCAAACCTTCCAAGTATCCACCACCTATCAGCTTTCAGTCGGTTATTCCTTAAAGGGCCAATCTCAACTCACGTCTCCTTCGGGCACTATGAACTCCTCGGCAGTTATGTTGACGAAGCGTATCGAACCGGATTTGTCGACCGCTTCTTCGGGGATCTCCTTTATCGTCACGTTCACGGTCGCCTCCACCCAGTGGAACGGTACGAGGGGCTCGTTCTCTTCTGTCACCTGCAACCAATCACGATATAAAGAATCGTTGCGCATAAAACTGGCACCATCAACCAAAACAGATGGGCGCTTATCAATGTTTCGAAGATGCGTCATATAAGAATATGATAGGTAAGATTTGTTGGGACTGGTGATAGTAGGCATTTGTCGCTCAAAGTTTAAGTATTTTTTTTGTATTTAATATAACCGATGTTACGCTTTCAGTCCTTAGACTATTAAAGCTTCATCGAACGCAGAACCGGTGGGATAGCCAGAACCCATGGTTTTGAGGCCCTCCTCAGTGGGTAGGGTAACTAACGCATGTACTCATGCGTGCGTTAATTATGGCATGTCGCTTACGGGCTATCGATGTTCGGTGCGGACCGTGACCCCGATGGCCGTTTTTTTTTTTTCAATCAAATATCTTTATTCAAATCGACGCTTGCGCGTTCTTATGAATCGTCAAACTTTACATAAAAAATCTTATCCTTGAAACGAGCAATTCTTGTATATATATGTAATCGGAATCTCGGAAACGGCTCCAGCGATTTTCATGAAATTTAGTATGTCCGTAGATTCGGGGGCGAAAAATCGATCTAGCTAGGTTTCATTTTTAGAAAATGTCCTTTTATCCCTGTTTTCAGGGAATGAAAAATATAATTCGAATATGACGGTAAATTTCGCCGCAAGAGAAAATGTCATAATACCTCGGTCGGTAATCGGGCGGCCAAAACAGACGGCCGTGGTTCGCGTCACGATCATTTACACATTTATTTTTTCACTTTTTTTCGATTCCAGATCATTGCTTTCTTTATTTTTGATTTTTTGTCGATTTGTTATTTTGTTATTTTTTTCTAAAGTTCTTTCTTTTGTGAAAAACATCAGTTCATATTTTCTTTTCATTACTCAGTAATTTGTATCTAAATGTAATTTCCAAAATACACGATTTACCAAAAAAAAAAACAAACCGAGCAAAGCTCGGTCCTCCGGGTACTTAAAAAATTATGTAACTTAAGTGTGTAATGTAGTTAATTGTGCTTGACGATTTTAAGTAAAATGATGCAGCGAAGAAATGCATGCAGAAATGCAACGTTCTTGGCACAATGCCAGGTATGTTATTTAGTTAGTATTTTTAAATAGTGTATAAATTTTTGCAGTTAAAGATACTTGTTTTTTTTTTAATGTGAAAGTTGCCAAACGAGCAAACGGTTCACCTGATGTTAAGTGAATACCGCCGCCCTCATGGACATCTGCTACACCCGAGGGTTACAGATGCGTTGACAACCTTTTGAAAATTGGGCTCCGGCTACCTCACTCACCAGACGAAACGCGAAAGTATTTGTCATACTACCACTTTACGCCGATCTTCTGAAAGGTCGTGGGACGAGCCTGCCCATTCGTGCAACAGCCGAGGCCCTACCACCGTGTTTTTATAAACCGAAAAAAATAAAAAATATTCGAACAGCTTTTCTTGATGACTACACTGAATATGGTTATCAAACTGTTAATAGCGAAACTAACCAACAACCGCGCGTCACTAAAAGGGTATAACCTCAGAAAGGATGCATAAAAACAAGAAGTAAACAGTCAACGGGAGTTTTCACTTAAACCTGTCGATTTATAAACAGAACAACGGAAACTAGCGCCCGGCCGCAGCGCAAATGAATCTTTAACGGGAAACTTTTTAATTTCCCAACGTTAAACGTCCGAGGAACAATATTTTTATTAAGAGCGCGCGTTTGAAACTCGAAGCGGGCGAGATGACGGCGAACGCAGTAAATACTAAACGGTAAATTATCAACTTTAACCGCAACTCGAGCCCCGAGAGGCGTCCGGAAGTGGAAGGATCCAACTTTTTCTTGCTGAAATAAATCTCGCGCTAAGCAAAGATAACGGTCATCGCTCCTCGAGCTACGAACGCTCCGCTATCGGTTCGAAGGGACGCTTTTTCGAAATGCAATTTCGAATTTCGAACAGAAGTGCACGGGACGACTCGAGTATTCCTCTGTCGGCGATTACGCCTTAGTAACGTGGTAACTTCGAACTTCGTTTGCACATTAGTACTTTAGAAGAACAATTACGATTCAACACGAACACGGGTTTTATAACAGAGCCGTGATAGCTCATTCTCTGGGCGCTCGCTTTATGCCCTATACTCTAGCGACCTGAGTTCGATCCCCGGTGCCGGCACCAATGAAATATTTAATTTTAAATGCTGACTTATCACGCGCTCAGTCGTAAAACGTGAGAAAACATTCTGAGGAAAAATTATTTCGAAGATATCTGGAGTCCGCCAATCCGCAGTGGTACCGCTTGGTGGACTTTGCATTTATTGCAGGAGGCCTTTGTTCAGCAGAGAGACATGTACATGTTACTTTTGTCGTATCGTTTGTGTTTGAACATGCGTCCTCCGCATAACATGAATGAAATCGTCGCGGCGGCGAAAAGCTTTTCGTCCATTTTTCTACAGATAATAAATTTCATCCCAAGTGCAGAGAACAGCAATATAATTTTATTTATTCTTAAATAATTTAGACTGACATAAACTATTTGGTTAATAAAACAGAGAGTGTTAGAATATTTAGACGATTTTCGCGAACCAAACGGTGTCGCTAACGCTTTCGTGTCTAAGATATAACCACACACGGATAAATTCCGAATAAATTTATTCGATTTTAACTCGTTTCGAATCAGGGATACGCACAGCCCTACCCAGTACGGCGGGCCGTATTCAGCTCGTGAGTTCTGACTAGCCCACAAGCTCTGCGTTCAATAAAACTTTTCTTTTCTTTTTTTTAAAAACATTGCCCTTACTTTAGGATAACATTATCCTGTGTAAGGACGTTTGACAAACATAAATTTCACGCGGGCAAACACACAGATGCGACACAACAACACACACAGACAGTTGTCCCGTGTGTGAATCGAACCCACGACCCCCGACTTGCCAATACCTTGGCAACGGCGCCACGGTGTCTACGGGTTGAAAGCGAAAACATCGGTTCAATGAAAAGTATACATACGTTGAACCGTAGTAGATACGTCCCGTTGGGTGTTCCCTCCTTCATGGTTATCATGCCCGTGTTGCTGTGCACGTCGAAGTAGGGGCTGCGCTGCTCGTATGAGGGCAGCCACATGAACCGCTTATCCGGCAGATCCCAGTCGTCCGGGTCGTCGACGAACACGCGCCCGATCTCGGTGTCCGGTGCCTCGCCCTATTAAAAAAAAAAGTTTAAACGGAATTGAAATATGTTGACTGGCCACTTACAATCGGATTAGGTTTTTAAGGGAATTCTCCAGATGTTGACTGGCCTCTAACAATCGTGTTGGATTTTTTTTTTTCATGAAATTTTGCAGACGTTAACTGCCCACTAACAATTTATTTTTTGGTAATTCTCCGCTAATTAAAAGTAAAATCTTAGTACATATGGAAGAAGTGTCTTCATTAATGTAATATACACAATTTACGTACTTTATTTTAATACATAATTTTGACTACCTAGGATATTTCGGTCATGTTTTATAAAATTTGATGACAGCTTAGGTTCACGCTCACTAATCATAGACTGGTCCGCACCTAATGACATTCGGTGACGAACGTTAAAACAATCATATAAATATTTGAACCGGCAATAATCCGAAAACATTGAAATAAATGAACAATTATACAATCTACATTTTAAAAGCATCGGGAAGCAACTGTACAAAGAATGCTCTCGATACTGGAAACTCCAACAACAATCAACCAGAAGAGAAGCTTTGAAATAAATTTTCTCTCGGATAGCAACACTAATCTCGAACTTATTCAATTATAGAGGGCAGGTTCTCGTGTTTGCGGCGATGCCTCAGGATCATTAAGACTGCCAGTTGAGGCAAGTCCACGTTGAATTAGAGAGTACTAGTAACGCGACCCTCTGGTACAGTTTGCGTTCAATTTCGGATTATCTGAATATAGTTTGCAGATTAACGGGACACTTGTCTAAGTATTAAAGTCGTATCTGGGCCTGCCCACGCGATGTGCCTGTTGTAATCTCTAACAGAATACATAGCTGCGATGAATCTTCGACGAGGTATTAAGAATTTAAAAAAAAAAACAAGTTGAGAAACCGTATTCAGTTTCATTTTGTTTTATTTTGAAAGCAAAATGCAATATAATTATATACATGTTTTTGTAACTAAGCATATTTTATATGTTTATTATATTATTTATTTATATTTATGACTAAAATTACTTTCAATGTTCGTATTAACACAAAATAATGAATAAAAAAACTGTGCATACGGAAATTTTAAACAAAGCATAATTATAACATAATACGCAGTAAATAGTGAGATTTGCACCTAGCATTTTGATCTAAGACTATAAAAGAAACAATGCCGAATGATATATTTAAAAATAGAGTATAAAATATCTTTTTCACTAGCGTCATTCTCAGCGTTTTAATTTCAAATCGGCGAAGTGTTTCGTTTTACGATCCCCTTGGCCCAATTTTAATAAAATACTTTCACTTTTCTTAAACGACAGTTCGCCAATTCTAAGGACGTCAGGAGCCACTTCGCTTCACCCTTCGACCGCAAAGCTGACGGACGATGTTGAGGCGAGAAAAAAATCACAGCGAACTCCACTACAAAGTTACTAAGAGATACCTCATCTGGAATATTGCCGCCGCCGTAACTCGACGCTGGGCGGGCCGTAAAAACTCACCCCGCACCATAATCCCTGTTTATATCCGAGCACTAAACCCACTTTCATTAGGGCGCGGAATTAACATTTTAACGGTCATATTATTAAAGAACAAGCACATTATCGTGCGACGTTTGCGGTCATGAAGTGTGGAACTTCGCCTCTATATAGATAACATCTTTTGTGCTTTGTTCGACGGACGAATTGCAATTAAGGTGAGGTGAGACGAATTGCAATTAAGGTGAGGTGAAACTGGAGTGAAAGAATTTTAATATGAATTAACGGTTCCCCTTTGAAGTAAAACTTCTTTAGGGGCGAGTAAGGGGGTAACTGAATGCTCTCGACAACGACAATGCAACGGAAAAAAATAATGTTAGTGCAATGAAACGTTTAAATAGGATTAAATTTTAAAATATTTTCGCCGTATATATGTATCTGAACTACACATAACTATATATATTAGTTGTTATTAATTAAAAAAATATAAATAAAATAATAGAATCCTAAAATACAATTAGTTACATTTAATTATGTATATTTTATTTATTATTTTTTTATAGACAGATTAGCAACCTGTCTAGCAATCTTAATATAGCTAAAAATCTCTGAAATCAACAGACTAGCAACTTTCTGTTTTGATCTATACATCATCTGTGCCAATATTTAAATGTAGCACAGACTATATCACGGAACACATAGAATTTAAGTCTGAATTAATTAAAATTCGGTAGTACAGCTGCTATATTGATATAGCAATAACTTAATAAGGTAGTTCATGATTGAAAATTTTAAACAACTTTAAACAATAGAACACAAATAAAAATTTCAGAATGGCTGAAAGATAAATTCCAACGTGCAACTAATGCACGGCATTCCACGAAGCAGCAGTACACCTTGTAAAAGCGAACTTAACTTTCGTCTGACAGTAAAACGTCTAATTCTGAAAAATAGTCGCGAGAAGTGGAAAATCGTAAAAGTTTACGGTGGTTTGTTGAGGCCACTGAGTGCGCTGGCTTCTGTCTTAAAGAGACACATTTGTCTTTTATATTCCGTCAGTCGCTTTAGTGAATGCAAATCACATTTTTATCGCTTGTTTAGATTTACGAGGTTGTTTTTACGAAGCGAGATTCGTTCGCATTATGATTCGATTCGAAAATAGCATTGTCTACAAATCTGTCGGTGACACTAGAAGACTATATAATACTATAATAAAACACACAACAGGCTCTGAATGAATCGATTGGGAAAGAAAAGGGCTAATAATTAAAAAGAATTAGGAAAAAAAATTTTCTGAATGCTTTGGACGACGACAATGCAATGGAAACGGCGATGACGCGTTTATGCATCCGATTTTTAGTTACTCTGTATATACCTTATGTATGTGTCTGAACTATACATTTACAATAAAAAATATGAATGATTTATTATTCATTAACATCTTAATAATATATACATAACATAAAATTGTTTTAAAGATTTTTTTAGGTTTACTTCAACCGTGTGTAAAGGCTAAACGCATCATTTTCTTTTTATTACGGTAATGGGTTGTGTTTATACTACCCACATGTATTAACAACTTCATTGAACAAGTGTGCGACAGAGATGGCGCTCTATGAAGCCGAAATTAGTTGCTTGTCTCTTTCTCAAGTTCGATGTGCAATATTTATTGCCGAGTACGTACACATCAACAATATTTGTGTTCGGCAATAACAGTGGACGAAACGAAATAAGATAAAATCGCGATTGAATTTCGCGTTAATCGACTGCGAGGGCGATAACTAGATTCCGTTAATGGATGGAATTTAAAATTGTAAACGCGACACTAATTAATCGTTTGACTAAAGACAATCGTATTATAAAATATCATCGATCCAGTTAATGTATATCATATACAAGCGGTGCATAATAACTCAAATGCAAGTGTTTAAATCATTCACTCTATAAGCGATAGGAAAGTCTACGACAAATACGATTCAAAGAATAATGTCAGTAAGAAAATATTTCGTATCTCAATATAGTCAAACTTCCGATACAAAAACTATGTTTTAATTACTGTCAGCTTTAGACGTATTTAGGTTTTGCACGGCAAAAAAAACAGTTACTTTAATAAAATAATAAAAAATATTAAATTTTAAAATGATAATGTAGTTGTTTTGTTATATAGATTTTTGTAGATCTTAAAAGTAAGGTAATAAATATTCACAGAGGTAAAGGTAAATTAGGAAAATTAAAGCGTGTCATAAAATTTAAATAAAAAATAGAAGCTTTCAACACTATACACAATAAAAGGATACGAATGAATTGAAATTACTCCCAACAAATGTTCTGTTATTGAATCAAATGTACAAGAACGAGATAAAAGAGAACGACACAAAGCGTTTACTATTCCGAGGTAATATTAATTTGAAATACAAGCACGGCGCTAAACCAACATCTGAATGTTGAGTTTTCATTTCAAAACAAGCGATGCCCCGCGGAGAAAATTCTAACAAAAAAAAAATCTTCCGTATTCCGCGACGGGGACTTAGACAAAGATTTGAAACTTTCTTATCGAATCAAATCACTCAAGTTCTAACGGAAACTTTTAAACCAATTATAAACTTACACCATCCAGTACAATTTAACAATAATTAAGAAAACTAAAAGAAACATTTGACATAAGAACGATCCAGTTAACCTATTTGAAAAGTGTAGATTAATTTCAATAATTTAAATACTCACATAGTATCGCCAGCTGAAAATTCCATTGAAGTACAATTCCGTCTGATAGCATTAAAGGAAACATTTCAAGATTAATAACCAATTAGCTTACAGATTAAATGTGTGAAAACGTTTGCTATAATTTCAAAGGCTTTACCTCTGACCTCTACTAATGTTTTTGTGGAATAATTTCCGATTAATTCTATGCTGTAGCGATTGTGCAGACCTTATAGGGTTTGGAAAGTTACAATGAAACTGTAAGAACACTTGAAGAGTAGCAGCGAGACATACTTTTCAAGGACGCATCTATTAAGTTTTACGTTCACCGAGCCGCAATGCCAAGGCTACGGGCGCATGAAACTAACAATGTCTGAACATCCAATTCCTGAGACGGGAGTATCTTAGAGGGGGACGGCACAATAGCTCTAGTGCTTCATCGAGTGGAGCCAGGAAATTTATGGGACAGATTTAAGGAATTTATGTGCGGCACTAAAGAGTTTTAGACTGCCGTTGTAAACAATCCCGATGTAGCGTAATGAATTTACAATGTACGTGTTTCTGCGCGCTCGTGGAACTGTACTGGATGGCTAAGTGCGCTTCAAGTACGGTCGGAAACAGCATGGAAGGGAAATCGTTCTGATGGTTCGAATGTATCTAAGGCAAAGGTCAAACAAAGGTCATGTTCACGCTAACTGTTTAAGTGATCGAATTCGTCTCTAGACATACAATGTATGAGTAAAAATGACAAATCAACTTTGTCTGAACACGACATTTTCCTTTCTCAACTATAAAAAATATTTTTAGTTTCAGTTATATTATGTTCAATTTGTTTTTTTTTTCTATTTGTAATTGATATTCTCAAAGCCGCTCGAAATAGCAGTAAATACCATACTGTTAATATGAAACCTTCCGCTATTAGTTTTAGTTTCATAACGATAATTTTTTTTTATATTTATAATTGATTAAAGGCGCCTGAAATAGCAGAAAATACCATACTATCAACATGAAACCTTCCGTTATTTTGATTTCTTTATACAAATTTTACATAAAAGAGTGCCATGATTATACAGTGCGTATAATCGTTAAAAGCTTAATTAATTAAACGTTAATTTAAATTAATTATTTATACGTGCAAAACGGTACGGCGCAATTAGCCGAAACAATACTGTGAGAGCGGAGGTAATTTCGAACTGAGCAATATACAATGCATAATAATGATCTAATTACCTTGTAATTGTATACGAATATATCGCTGTGCCCCGGGGCCATAGGGTTGTCGTTTCTGTCTCCGATCACCACGTGCAGTATGGACACACCGGTCAGTCGTGGCGTCCCTGAATCGGTTATCGCCACCGGTATCCTGTACTCCTTCCGCTGCTCCCTATCGAATGATACTAAAGTCGATAGTACGTTGCCTGCAAAGAAATAATAAATAAGTCATGGCTTTGCTAAATATTCCACTTATCATCACAGGTTGATTTTATAGGACGCCGGACATTTTAACATAGCATATTATGCAGAATTTGATTCTAAATCTGAATCTGGTACGTACTTTTGACCTAATTTTTTTTGCAAAGATTTTTTTAATTTTTCAAACATTATGGACACCTTAAGAAATTCCTGCCTTACCGTTGCAATCCAATAACCTATTGACGAGCACTAAAACTTTTCGCTGAACACATTACTAAACCACTTATCCATAGGGTGACCACTCTTAACGGGATAAACAAACAACGTTCGAAGTGATATTTTTCTGGTTATTTCTTGTCAAAATAAAATATATATTTTTTTAATTATGGACTGCTCAATTAACATTATGTCAAAGCATGTTCGTCTAAAAATCACCGTGTATAGTAGGAAGTAGCTTGAATTTTTGACGTCTCAGAATATAGAGAGATGCATTTTGAAAGTACAACTTCGTAAAATTGACATGATACAACACAACAGAAACGCATTCAGAACGTCCCTATCGCCTGTCGCAAATAGATGATCAGATAATTGTATTACATAAGAAATATGCCTTGTTATATGTCAGTTATTACAGTAATGGGACTAACTGCTCAATGGGGTGTTCCACCCTGGAAGCCGCGAATTTGTAGCCGCCCATTCCAATCTATTCCAATCGAACAACGGAATTCGACAGAAATCTGCTCCTCCCCCACAATTATTGTCCCTATGAACTTTCAGATGACTGACTTGGCTATGTTCCTAAGCTAAATTTTATTCGCGGGGTTGTCTGTGTGTAATTTGTTTATATAGCATCTGTATAGCACAGTCGTTATTTCATATAAATTGTTGAGATTGTGAAGCAACGCCGTTTGCATTTTCTTGGATAAATAATTTCACCATAAACATTTTAATGAATGTCATTTATGACACACATGTCCCGGAAATATTTTATTTTTTTCAATATTTCTTAGAGGCAAGTATCCTCACAAGGTTTTTACCTAACCGCTGAGCACATGGTAAATTGGCTCCCAAAAATGCAACTATTGCAATTTCATTGGTGCCGGCACCGGGATCAATACGCAGGTTGCTCGAACCCAGGGCTGGTTTTTTTGACTGCAACCGATTCTGATGTTTTCAACAATTGCAAATTGCCTTCAGAAATTTTCGCATTCGAGTTCGACAAGCTCAAAACAAACTGTGACGTCACAGCGTGCAAAATAATCCGCACTTCCGCGAGCGGCAACCGACGTACCCTTCCGATCGGAAAGTTGGCTGGCGGCGTAGTGAATAAGTTTATTCCGCTTCGCTTTCGTCGTGGGCCAAATAATTTCCGCAGACGTAGGTCACAATTATCAACACGCTAGCTTGAATAGGGGGAGGGCAGTGCGGCTAAAATTGAATTGGCACTTCTGAAACAAAGTTGGCGGGAAGCGTTCGGAGCGCCATTTATTGCATTTTAACTACATTAATTGATCGAAACTCGATTTTGAAGGCTCTTTGAAACGTTGTCGGCGGTGTTGAGATTTTGAACGCCCGTGCGGGGAGGGGATTAGCAGAATCTCTAAAGAGCCGTGGACTTGAATAAATTGTGTGTTGAATAACTATAAAATGCGGGCATTACCTACGGAGAGAACGCGGAGCAGTTAATAATCATATTAAAGTCTGTAAGAACTGTCTTAATTCCATCTAATGTTTGCATTTAAAGCATATATTTTTTTCTCATACGGAATCTCCATTCGGAATTCTGTATCCATTGAACCATTGCGGCGTCCTGAGCCAACGCATTGAATGACCAAGTCTAAGTTTATAATATAATTTCAAGAGTAATGAGCACTTTACCTTGTATGTGGAACTTCGATCGTATGTCGAAGCTGGCTGAATCGTTGAGCGCGAAGGTGAAAGGCGGGCCGTTCTCAGCGGAGTCGTAATCCTTGGCGGTGAGCACTACCACCTGCCCAGGCGGCTCGTTCTCGTACCATATGACGGGCTGAGTCTGCAAGTTATGACGTCATAAGAGACTGCAATAATGACAACAATTTTTGACAAAACTTTGTCCCAATTTTACGCACGTTTCGCCACATCCATTCAAAATCAAAGTTTTCTCGTGTTTATGCAAAAAATAAATATCGTTAAAAAAAACTAATTCACGAATTGTATCGCGACTTTATCTTTCCGAAATGACGTGGTATTAAAGTCCAAATCGAAAGAGTTATAATGCACAAATTACTTTTAATTTTCCAATTCTAAATTTCAATTTCACTATTGACACGCAGTGTTGCCGCGAGCGGTGCACAAATGTTTGTGTGATTTTAGTCTGTGAGTAATCCGAGAACGGAGGCGTGTGCCTCCGAGATTTGGATACAATCTTCCATTGCCAACCATACGTGCCATCTACTAAACGTAGACACTAATCGTTGGTATATTAACTAGTTGACTCGTGCGAAATTTTCATACAGTATCGAGATCATTTACCGAATAGTAATATCATTATGGAATAATGAGCAAAAATGTATTTATCAAGGTACCTTATTTTTATTATAAAAATGTAAATTCGGTAGAATTCAGTTTTCTGGTTCGCTATCTTTCATTTCAAAAAAATATTAATAGACGGCATTAGCATACATTCATAAATTGTTGACGAAAATTATTTGTGGAAGACTACGTGAATGCATCACTACTTTTTGCATATAATATATTTTTCGCCTAAGTGCATTACAGTATAATTTACATTTTGTTTATATTCAACATTAATGAGAAACGTTGATAAAAGTATTCTAGTGAAGATTTTCACTAGAATATTTCTAATCAAATTTAGGCGCTACTTTTGTTTAAATTACACAACACCGTACTCGTATATGACAACGGTAGGAGCATTTTGAGTATCAATTTTCAAATATTAGGCTCGTTTGTACTTTTATATGATGCCACGACGTAATCCAAAATGAATCATAATGTCGCCAGTCACACAGGCGTATAATGAAACTTCGAAGTTTGAAGAACTGGAAGTTTTCGAAAAGCTTAAATAAATTATTCTCCCAAAAGGCATTACAACTACCGCGCCAAAGATTAGCGGTATGTTTCATACAGTAAATAATACGAACTAATATAGTGTGTTCTAATAACAAAAAAAGTTTTTTTATCATTAATAAAAATGTTGCATAATGATTTCAAATACTATTTAAGTTATGGAATAAATGGCAAAAAAAACATCGCGTGGTTTTATCTCTATATTTTCACAACAAACACATTATGTCACATATCTTGAGTCGAAACAGTTAAAACATGGCTTAACACGAACTATTTGCTTAGTAAAAAAAAAATACATATTCGTCTCGAGCAACAATACTTTGAAAGAGGATAATTTTTATGTCTATTATTAATTGACCACTTCACAAGAAAGGTTTCCCCATGTTACCCTTTTTAATACAACTCGATTCATCTCCGACATGTTAAGTGCTTCGTAAGTGAGAAAGTATTAGAGGACAATATTTCGTATCACTTTACGTTAACTAAGTTAGAAACACTAGTTTGTGATCGTTCGCTGAAGCGCTCAAGTGGTCGCTTTCATCAGTGTATTTCTTTAAGGGTTAAAAGGAAAGAGGCACAAAGAACTTTTCTCAGCGAATGCCTTAACTTCGAAAGAGTTTCAAGGGGTTTCTTAGAACGGCGTTGTATTGGAATGCGTGGAATACAAGACGGTGAGACCACAAAGCATTATGGACATAACAATTTTAAATTTTATTCATTTATAAAGTTACATTTTTAGGTTAAAAATGAACGGATGACTGAAGAATTACGGAAACATAATCAATTAGATTTACATCACAGGTGAGATTGTCCCACGAGTAGTTATTTACATTTCTTATAATTTACTCTAACGAAACGATTTTAACGTTTGTAAAAATATTTTTACAATGTTGTGTCTTTAAATGCAGTTGATTTTGACACGAAAAGGATTGCATTGTGTTTAATAAATGTAACAAGTTTATGGAAAACGAGGCAAATGTGATCACAAATGTCCATAATTTTGAAATGATTATTGTTCTCTAACGGTTTTTTGCAGAAATATAAACCTGATATATTTCCAACATGAATGAAATGTCCTCTCCTTTGATATTTTCAGGAGTAGAGGTTAGTGGATAAGGCTTATGACAGACACAAAGGTCGGACACCGTTTAAATCTGTCCCTTACGTTTTTCCCTTATCCGGTTTCGTAGATGTCGGATACAACGAGTTCACTGGGAGACATTATGAAAATAGGTACAATATCACATTTAAATGGAAAGTTAAAGGCGAAGGTTCAAACGTTTCGATGTCGTGAAAAATTACGAAAAACTTTATCGGCTTTAAACTACTTACTTATTTTAAACAATATCTCTCTGACGGAAAATTTACGTATAATTTACACATATCTGCGAAATATTTTTTTATTATCTAAATCAGCTATAAAAGATAACTTAACAAGCTCAGTGCCTAAACCTCTACAAGGTGCAAATTCGGCCCCACATGGAGTAGGTACTACTCTCATCTCTGAGCGGGAGCCCCCGGCTACTTCCATCACCACGCTCCTTTATTTGTATCATTATAATTCTTGAAGGTGCAAGCCGAGGTACAGGCTAGGCGCCCCAAACTAAGGTTCAGACTAGGTGCCCCGAGCGCCCAGCCACCTCAAATCCGGCGTAATTGTAAAGGCTCCTAAGGCCAATCGTGGCTCCTTAAGTCCACAAAAAAATGAAGGTGCAAGTTGTTCTTGTGTTCCGATGCATAACATGCATCTAATATGCGGGGTTATAGAGTTAGCAAAGTACAAATGAACATCAAAAGTAATGTTATTACACTAAATAACGACATGGACGGTATTTACCTGGGACTACGATCGATTCGATAAAGTACAATAGCAAGAAAGGAAATGGGAAAAGAAATCTCTGTTTGAAAAGATGAAAGTGAACAGAAAATGAAAGCAGCAGCGGGTTATTCTTGTGCCCAGACTATGAATGCTTTGAAGTAATAGAAAAGTCGGGAGTAAAAATTAAAAATAAACAGTGATGAAACCCAAAAAGCACTTTAATGTGTATTCGCGAAAAACAGCATAGTTAACGATATATTATTCGATGAATCCGTGGTACAGTTGCCAAAACATTGGCCTCGGCGTCGAGGGTCGTGGGTTCGATTCCCACACGCGACAACTATTGGTGTGAACCACAAATAGTTGTTTCGCTTCTGGTTGTTTGCCCGCGTGAAATTTATGGAAAACGTCCTCCAAAACATTCTGCCAATCCGCGATGGGGTGACGTGGTAAACTATGCCCAAATACCATTTGTACAGAGCCCATGCGTAGCAATGGGCCATGTATAGATTATTTATTACTATACAATTTATTTATCTTTTAATTATTATAAAATGATATTTGTTTAGATAATATTATTTTATTTTATGTAAAGAAAACTTGCTAATGCTTTTCAACGCAGGGAAATTTGATTATGTCCACTGTAAAAGTTGAAAACTTAAATTAACAATTAAATTTTAAGTTTTAGCCTGATTAGCAATTAATTTTTTAATAATATCGTAATAAATATAGAGAACAAATCCAGAAGCTAACCATCTTCTGTATAAAACAATGAACTACCAAGACCCGCACAATGAAGCCACCCCAAAGGGGATAATTCCAACGAAATCAAACCAATTTTACGGAAGTTGATACAATCTGAGCGAATGCGCTGACTAGTCTATCGAATCGAAGCATCAACGAACTCGGCAAATGAATGAATTGCCTTCGGTCTGTGTTAGATAATACCGTCTTAATCCGCCCTCGGAGGGAAAGCCCCGATCGGATGGAGGCTTCAAATCGTGCTTATACAGGCCTAGTTGGCGCACGTATACGATGCGAACCGACGAACAATGGTTAAGCAATCAGGGGAGATGGATATCTAATTGGCATGATTTATCTAAAGCTTTGCGAGGGTCCAGATTGCCGAAATCTCATAAAATGTTAAGGGTAAGTCGGAAAGACGTTCCGCATAATGTTTAACTTTTCCACATACAGCCAAAGTTTCCGATAACAAATGTGGAAAAAAAGGGAGAATATTAAATGCTACCTTGCTTGTTCTTCTTCTTTGCTTTATACAGGTAGATAAATCTAAGCCTTGTAAGATTTTCCGCGTCACAATTATTAAATACTTCATCAAAGATTAGCAATAGCAATATTCTGTATTGCTATAATCTGTATATTACCGTCAATGTCAAAGTATATTTATTCAATATAGGCCTAACTTAAGCTCTTATTGAACGTCAACAAAAAATCTACCACCGGTTCACTAAACTAAACCTGCACAGAGAGAAAGAACCGGCAAGAAACTGCGGTCTTGTTCTTTTTGTTATTTTTTTTATTTGATGAAATTATACACATTTATTTAGTTATAAAATCAAGGTACAAATTGCAGTCTTGCAAGTGCAGAGCAAGAGTCATGTCCAAACATAAATTCTAAAAATGCAACGTCATTGCGCACCACAGGATATACTTGTTTTGATTATGAGATGAATTTTGATTTTTTTAATGTGAGAAAGTGGCGAACGAGCTGGCGGTTCCCCTGATGTTAAGTGATAACCGCCGCCAATGGACATCGACAACACCCGCAGGGTTGCAGATTCGTTGCCACCTTTTAATAAAGTGGGCCCCGGCTAGGCGAGCCACTTCATTACACTTCTACTTTAGGCCGGTCTTCTGTGAATTCCTGGTACTTCCCCGGATGGACCTGCAAATTCGTGTGTCAGCGAACATTATAGCGTGGTCATACCACAGTCAAATTTGACAACACACAAAGTTAAACATATTTATAGATTCCATCACTATAAAATTATATTAAAGTTAAATGAAATGGAAGATATAATTGAAGATTAAAAATGGAGCCGTTTTATTTTGACAAACGCGTTGTTCAGCCACAGGAAAGACGATACGTCATTGAATAAGTCGGTAGCAATGGAAAGTTTACTACAGTTTACATATTAACTACTAGCGACCCGACCCGGCTTCGCGCTGGTGCAATGTATTATACATATAAACCTTCCTCTTGAATCATTCTATCTAGTAAAAGAAACCGCATCAAGATCCGTTGCGTAGTTTTAAAGATCTAAGCATACACAGGGACAGCCAGACAGCGGGATGACTGTTTTATACTGTGTAGTGATAGGAAGAAAGATCAAAGATAGACGCTATACAGAACGGAACTGGAGCAGCCGAGTGTTCAGAGAAATAGAGAAGATATTTCGTGACAAATGCTATTAGCATAAGCCAATCTGGAATGAGTCCGGCGGGCGCTGCAATGTGGCCAGGACGTCTTGATGTCTGCCTAATGTTATACCGAGGCGTTACGAAGCCTGAATAATTAATCCGATATCTCGGTCAGGCTTATACAGAAATATAGGAGTTGTTTCAAGAAAAGCGTATTTCTTTCCACTATTTTAAGTCTTTGTTTTTTTTATTTACGCTTGCAATGTCTGTAATAAACTTCCATTGCCATAGTTTCGGTATTATTCATTATTAATTCTAGATATAAGATTGTTGAATAAAAACTCTTCAAGGAGTTAAAACTTGTATTAAGCTTAATTTTTTTTTAAATCATAGTATTCTAATCAACATTGGGCTTATCTGTAATGTATGATAAACATATGAAAATTCAAAGTTAAAAGCTTCTTCTAAATTAAAATAAAGATTAAGTTCTAAAAGTTTTAATCCTTTAAACTTAGTGCTCGTCTCTAGAATAGAAGGCCGGTTCTTTATTTTCAATCGGCAACTTAATCCTGAGCATGGCTAAGATTAATTGATTGCGTCGGGTTCGGTAACTTGGGAGATTTTACAAGTAACTTGGGAGATTTTACAAAACTCACTCCAAGTTATAGTTAGTTCGACTTTAACCCCATTGAAGATTGAGTTTATCAATAACAAGCTTTGATCGGGGTTTTGAGGATTTATTTTAAACTTACACTGGTTTTAATGTTTGTTTTTAGCCACAAAATGTCATCCTTAAAACAATCAAACAGTAGGGGAATGCTCATAATAAGAAACATTATTAAATTAAATTATTTTTATATTAATGCAATGTGTACTATAAGTACATACTAAAAATAAGTGAAGCATTTTAAATTTTCACGTTTCATTCTAAGCGGTGTCCGAATACAATTAAGTTCACCATTCATTTACATACAAAGGATTACTAGAAGGATTTACTGATAGAAACACTTTCTAAGCGTCGACAACAGAGTCAATTGCTTTCACGTGTGGAAGAATTGATTTCTTCCCCGAAAAGAGGAGATCGCTACTGCGACAAATAAATCATAGCAAATGATCGCGGAGGCGGATGAAGACGGCTCGAAAGGCGTCTACCAGCGTGGGTACTGCGAAAGTGCAGGACGGGGAATTTGCATAAAAATTCACAGTCACAACTCGCGTTGAACAATCGCCCCTAATCGTGAAATACGAGAGAGATTTGAGAACGGGCGGCGAGCGATAACTCTCCCTAGAGCTCTATTGTTGCGCCTGCATGTCGTAATTGCCGGGGCCTAAATATTTCGCGGACCAAAGTTTCGCGCGCGAAAAAAAGCGAACCATCGCGGGGTTCCCCGCGCTATTGTTTCAGCAATCTTCCGCTAAGGTGCTCCGTTCATCATGGCTCTGGCGTTTCGTAATGGAGTACCCGAATGGTGTAGTGGGTAGTTCACCTGCCTCCTGCACCAGAGGGTGTGGGTTCGACCCCCACCACTGAAAAAATATTGTGTGATGAACATAGTGTCTTGCTAGTGTCTTAATGCCGAAGACGTGGGTTCGATTCCCACAGCGGCGACAATCTTTTCGTACTTTTTCTACATTTTCTACATAATCTAATCTACGTGTCTTAGTGTTAATATACATATAATATGTATTTATTTACAAAATAAAAGTGTGTATAAGTATGTTTATCAGTTCATCTAGTGCCCATAGCACTCGTTGCTCAGTTTGGGACTAGAGAGCGTTGTGTGAAAAATGTGTCCAAAACAGTCGTAGGCAAATTAGGTGCCGCGAATCGTTGGTGCGGCGTCGTTCATCTTGGAAGTTGGAAGTGGGAACAGGTGCCTTCGACTTGTTCGCTGGGAGTTTGTTGTGTGGAAGCGCGCCGGGTGAGCTCGCGAGCGGAAATCGAAAAGGCCCGCATATTTATTGGTTCCGCACGGCCGCTTTCTGAGGCCCACCCGAACGTAACTAACGTTGGCTATGTGTATCACTGTTATTTATTTATTTATGGATTTTTACCAGCAATAGTTACATTCATACGATTAATATTAATAATACAGTGGTTATAGCTAAGTGGAAAACTATTTTAAGGTAAACACAACATGTTTATATAGTGTATTAAAATAATAATAATTAAACGCAGTAAAAAAGAAATAAATTATAATGTTACTGCTTTCCGGTGTTTAGAGATATCTTACAATAAATACTTGCTAATGTCTAGCCAAAAAGTTATGTAGTATATGTAGCAAGTAGGAAATGATTTGTCCTTCCTTAGATAGAAAATTTACCTTCCTTAGTTTTCACTTAACGGTGTAAGTGAAAAAATACAGAGTACCTTCTAGCGTTCTTTAAGTTGTTACTCAGTGACACCTTTTGGAACTTTATGAACTCGGTGACAATTGTAAAGTTATGGGATTATGTATTACTTAAAAATCTCCACTGCGGCTGGTGACAATAGGGCCGGTTTTTTTTGCTCATAGGTTAAGCATAACTATTAAGCTAGGAAATGCAGCTAGCGTTCTTGGTACCATGCCGCGTAGACTAGGTTTGTTAGATAACTTATATATTAGATAAATTATATTATTACTAGCTGACCCGGCAAACGTTGTTTTGCCATATAAATTATTTGTAGGGTAGCAAAAAATGTTTGGGGTGAACCACCCTTAACATTTAGGGTGATCTACCACCCTATCCGATATGCACACAAAATTTCACGAAAATTGGTCGAACCGTTTCGGAGGAGTTCAATTACAAACACCATGACACGAGAATTTTATATATTAGTTTTAGTATTGTATATGACTTATGACTCCATGGCGCAGTTGCCAAGGTATTCGCTTCGGCGTCGGGGGTCGTGGGTTCGATTCCCACACGGGACAACTATTTGTGTGACCCACAGATAGTTGTTTCGCATCTGGGTATTTGTCCACGTGAAATTTATGTTTGTAAAACGTCCCTACAACACAGGATAATATTATCCTAAAGTAAGGGCAGTGTTTTTTTAGAAAATAAATAAATAAATAAGAATTGAAAATGTTTTTGTATACAAAAGGATTCTTTCTTTCCCTCTATTATGTCTACAGATAGTCTATGATTGTTTGGTTATCTAAACACAACTGCATTTTCGCATCCGCCATATTGAAATACTTATAAATACGTCTATCAACTTAATATTAATTGGCTGTCGCGGTTTGCAACCATAAAAAGGTCAACCGCACATGGCTGCATTAAATTTCGCCGGTGGCAACACTTTCAAAAAGAACTATAAAGCGCAAGGAGCGTCAATGAAATTGCGTGCATTTTATCGCACAGAAAATACACGTAATTAACGTTTCCCGGCCGCGAAAGACTCGAAAATTAAGTCGTTACTTATTAATGGTAAGAGCACAACCGCTTATTAAAACCGACTCAGACGTGACAAGAATTTCACGAAATAATTTAAAGTAGTATAAGCACTAGTATTTAAATCGTTGGTTAATTGCACCCAGATTTAACGACTTTTATATTATTGATACTAGGTATATGCAAATTAATAACTTTAAGCTATGGGTGTGGACCGTACCAACAAACTTTCGTAAAAGTCTCAACGGGACTGCATTCAAATACTACGTAATCAAACTTAAATAGATAAATTATTGTTTAAGTTTTCTCCACTTTACGTTTCGAACCTACGCTTTCCACTTAACACACCCAGACGCACTCACCATTAAGCTAACCGAGATTCGATATCCTCACCGCGGGGAAATCTCAAAAAAATACAATAAAAACGAAAGATAAGACATCTTTCGTTTTTATTGTATTTTTTGCAATGCTTTGGCGCAATCTAGTTTGCATCCTTATATGTATGAACGAAATATTGGCATGACTAATAATTGCCTTGGTACAAGCAAATATCGACTTTAAAGTAACGGACCATTGCTGACCCTGACTGTAAACTTTACGGTCATTGGCCATTTCAAAGACATTTGAAAGCGTGAACTTTATGATATATGAACGTAGTGATACGTTCAACACACAAAATATTTTTCAACTGTAGAGAATCGAACCCACACCCATAAGCGCAAGAGACTGAATATCCACTCCAACCGGGAAATCAAAATACGCGGCTGTAATACATATAATAATCTGATTAAAATTATATGACCGCAGAGTTTCTTGCCAGTTCTTGTCTTGCAGATCTAGCTTAGTGAACCGGTGGCAGTTTTTGACGTTCAATAAGAGATTAAATTAACTCTATGTTGAATAAAGAAATTTTCACTGAAAAAAAAAAACAAACGAAAAAATACTCACATTAGTGAGGAATGGTGCGTTGTCGTTGATGTCCGTGAGCTCCAAGATGACCTCGGTTGTGGATCTCAGGCTGTCGGACCCGAGCCTGCCGCCCTGATCGGCCGCCATTATCAGGATCTGCCACCTCGTGAACCCCGAAGGCTGGTCCCGGTCCAAGGGCTTGGTGAGACGGAGACAGCCGTCGTTGTCTATCTGCAGGAACTCCTTCTGTTCGTGCTTGACCAGCGAGTAGACTATGTTCTGAGGCGCGTTGCGATCTTTTATGTCCGGATCGTATGCCTCCACCTGTGGGTTGGTGATTAATTTAAATTCGCATGTGAACTTATAAACATAAACATCATATACAGCTACAATTGTAAAAGTGTATCTTAAAACATCCGAATGTTGGAGTTTTAATACTTAATGTTGGAGGTGGGTCAAATATGACTCATATGCTTAATGAAGCATGTCAATATATATATATGTATACACTAATCTTCTATATATTAAACGTGAAGCGAAATCTTTGAACTCGTCTTTACGAAATCGCGCGGACGGAGGAGTATGAAATATCGCACACTCATAGTTTATATGGAGGAGTGCCGAATGATAATATTTTTTTTAATTATGCATAAAAAAATACATTAAATCAATACAAAAAACATTACACTCGCCATATATAATTAGTTATGGTCGAATTTCGAACGTTGGGCGACCACTAGTATTTCTAAATAGTTGATATCCTACCTTCACAATACAGCCTTCGTAAAGTTTCTCCTCTTCAATGGTCTTCGTGTAGTTCGCTAGGAACACTGGCGGGTTGTCGTTCAAATTCTCGATGTTTATAATAACTTTGGCGTAGTCCTCAAACAGTCCGTCGAAGGCCTTCACGTCGAGGCTGTAACTAGTGATGTTCTCGTAGTCCAACTCGTTGTTGACGCGAATCTCGCCCGTGAAGTTCCTTATGACGAACGCGTCGTAAGTGTTGCCGGCCACTATGCTGTACGTTACCACGGAGGCTGCAAACAAATTAAAAGTAAAAATAAACATTCTTCAATGTTCGAGGAATAATATAATCTGTTAATGTGTGTACGTCAACAAACAGCAACAACATTATATACAGATGTGTATATGTGACTGTTTGTTTCTTTACTGGACTGTGGATATAAAATTGGAACAATAAAGGAATTATAAAAAAAATTTGAAATGTTGACGAATCGTGTGCGGGATTAGCACAAATACATTTTTTGCGGTGCAAAACATTTTTGTATTTCGAGGAGAAACGCGCCGCCGAAGCCGAGCGTAAAATTTGGTTAAAAGACACCGTTTGAACAACAAATGTACACGCAAATACGGCATTCCTGGGGCAAATACGAAAACGATTCGAAATTACGTAAAACGTAAAACATTTCTCGGGAGTTGAAATGTCATGAGCAAACCCCGCCCACACTTGAAATTTAATGGCAAGTTAATAAACATTTTGTTAGACGTGGGTTGTGAATCGGAATATCGGGGAATCGCTCGCGGAGAAATTCCCACCGCATCTTTGAAGGTTTCGTATTGGTATAAATTAATTCGTACTAATTAACTCCTTTGACGAATGCGCCTGTTTCCGATCAGTTTGTACCACAAAACGTATCCGTTACGTCAGTAAAGAAATATCTTACCACATTAAATTATCTTTAGAATATGAATACGTACTAAAAATACAATACTAGACCAATTTAAAACTTCGTTGATGGCAAAAGCTAAGTACAAACAGCTTACGTTTTACGATTGTCTAAATTGCATTCAATGTACGTTACAACTGATTTTTATAAGTTTTATTTATAGCAAAATCAACTAAAAAAAACAGTACACATAATAAAACTGTAATAAGCGAACCTACAGAAACTAGATGGGATTTTTGATGACAGAAAATGGTATATCTAGCGGATCACTTAATGGTTAGTGATAGCCGCCGTTAGATTAACTGCGTATTTCCTGTGGCAACCTTCACTAGAGAACGGACCTTTATTCCTCACCAGACGTATCTCAAAAACAAAACTTATTAATACTTTACGAAGGTCTTCTGTTATATCGTGGTACATACGATCAATACAGCTATTGCTTGCTATAGAAACCGCCGTGTCTCCACAACAAAAGGAAACACGAAAAGGGTTCAATCGCTAAGAAGCCCGGTACACACCTGTGTCGATGTCCACCGCGGTCACTTGCGTCACCAGCTCGTTGATGTTCGCGTTCTCCGCAATGGACTCGGCGACGTACGTCTCCTGGGTGAAGTGCGGCCTATTGTCGTTCTTGTCCGCGATCTCTATCAAGAACACCTGCTGGCCGGCGTTATGCTTCCCCGGTATCAGCGCCGACTCCGAGTTGTCCGTCGCGATGATCTTTATGTTGTAGAAGCTCCTCTCCTCGCGGTCGAACATCTTCAGGGTGGTTATGTTGCCCGTGATGCTGTCTATAGCGAACGGGTCGGAGGGGTCGCCCAGCTCGTAGGTCACTTGGTTGTTGGCTGACGTGCCGTCCGCGTCGAAGGCGCGCACCTGCATAACGGGCGTGCCCGGCGGCTCGTTCTCTAACACGCTGCCCGATCTTATCTCGCTGAATATCGGTATGTTGTCGTTCACGTCCTCAACCTCTATCTGTATTATCGTCTCCGCTGCCAGTTTGTAGTTGTTCTGCGAATTTCAACGTGAAATGTGTACCAACAAATTTCAATGTAGAATTGTCCTACGTGTCATTATGTTTATCTGCCGATCGATTGAACTTCATCCATAAATAATTAACATACTTCTTTATTTGAGAATTGGATGCAGTATTAAGCAAAACCCTTACCTGTATCCTCACAGTCAACGTGTAATCGGTGATTTTCTCGTAGTCCAAATGGTTACCGAGCTTTATGTACGCCGAATCGGCCTCTGGCTCCAAGACAAACGTATGCCATTTATTCGTTTGCTCGGTTTGACCCATTACTAATTCGAACTGTAATTTCTTCTCTTCGGGTATGTTTGAACTGCAATAGACGACATACGGTAAAAATTTGTTATACCTAACGTACAGGTTTTGAATCTGAAAAAAAGCTAGCCAAAAGACGGAAGTATCTGAGCGATAGCTCGAGATATTAATGGATATCAATGGACTCCCAGGGTGGGGGTTAATTTTTTATAGACAAAGATTCTATATCGTAAGTAACAATTTGATAAAGTTTAGAGTGGGTCGTCTCTGTAAAGTTTGAAACGAATTTTATACTTACACAGCTCTGACTGTGGCTATAGGCGTATTGAAGTCGGCGTAATTTTCTTTTAATCTTATCGGTTCATCGGGAACTTCTATGAAAGACGGGCTTTTCTTGTTAGACTCTATGACTTGAATGTCTAAAGTAATCGAACTTTGCTGAGGCGGATCGCCCATATCTTTCACTATGGCACTCAACTTAAATTTATACCCGGGAACTTTCTGTGGGAACGACATCAAAATCACAATTATTGTAACGATATTTCCACGTTTACGATGCCGCAGAGATCGTAGAACGATATTAAAGGGTACCTAAAATATTTTATATTTGGAATCCGGCCAAACCGGCGGATCCTTTGCTGATCTATAAAAATGAACATCGTGCAACATCCGATAATATTAAATTTATTATTTAACGATACAAAATATCGGAGAAAATACGTTCCGTCGCAGTAATATAACATTTTTTTGTCAATTTTGTCTTACTTACATCAATAGTCTTGTTTAAAAAGATTACTCCGTTGTCTGGATCTATGTAGAAGTACGCCTGGTCCGGTGAATTCGAGTCCAAGCTGTAATGTACGATGGAGTTGTTTCCATCGTCAATGTCAGTGGCCGATATCCTCATGACTTCACGACCGCTTGGCAGGTCTTGTGGCACCGACTCCGAGTACGACTAGATAAAAAATACACCATTAAACTAATCGTGTTTCACGTCTTACCGAAGATTACAATCTTCAAAAAAGATAATTTATGACTGTTTTTATTAGTTACAAAATAATAGCAATACGAATCAAATATTTAACCGATTAATATTTTTAGGTTTTCTTGTTATGTGAAAGTTGCCAAGCGAGCAGACGGTTCACCTGATGTTAAGTGAATACCGCCGCCCATGGACATCCGCTACACCCGAGGGGTGCAGATGCGTTGACAACCTTTTGAAATTTTTCGGAAATTATGTATTTCAAGAACTTAAATGATCATCAAAAATATTAAAGAAACTTATATGGGGCTGCGTTAATTCACACATTTTAGCGTCTATGTTTGGGTTATAATTATAAATCACTTCGACATCTTCTACGCGAAGCATGCCCAAAGCTTAGAGATAGTTTTGTATCCAAAATAATAATAATCGTGCAGTGTGGTAAAATGCGGCTAGGGGGAAAGAGCGGCCTAGCTAAAAAAACACACCGACTACAAATGTGCAAAATAAGTGAATCCAAAAATATCGATTATATGAAATCATTACCGATAACGCCCTGAGTGGCGGCTTACGATCCTAAATCATGCAGCAACATGCAATAAGAAATAGAATACTATTGAGATGTTCATAAATATCGATTGTTACCAAGGCCTTCTCGAGTTAAATATTACAATAAACACTACGAAATGGGTACGGCTAAGATCAGCGATGGTAACAATCGAAAGTTAGTAATCGACAGTGTCAACTTTAAACAGTTTTGTGCGAAACGCTCTCTCTCATTTCGTGATATTCACTGCTCATTTAGACAAACCTTCCAAACGTCTCCACGGAAGACCTTCGAAAAACAGGCAAGAGTTAATAAAGTCTGCGCCACGGTTTGAGGCTAATGAACGAATGCTCAGTTAGTAACAAATACGTATCACAAACAATTATATATAATTATTGATTAAAATATGAATCGTTAAGACGAAAACATTATCGAATGCAAATTCCATTCCACGTGAGACCTAAAACTTTAAAAAGAAATTAAAACAACGTCATTATTGACAAACAACATACCATAAAAGTTATTGACACATGTAGGATAATAAATTAACATCATTTCGTAAAAGTTAACGTTAACTTAACCCCAAATCTAGTCTTGATTACAGGTGGATAGAGCGCTCGCTAAGTCTAGCACTATATGTGCCTTTGGCGTTATTTAAAGAGTGCGAGGATACTCACAACTTTGTCGAAAACCGGTTGGTTGTCATTGATGTCCTCTATGAGGATCTTGATGGTGCACGCGTCGTCCAACTGAGGCTGGCCGTTGTCACTCGCCCTGACCGTTATGTAGGCCTCCTTTTCACGCGACGGCTCGTCGTGGTCGAATATCTGTATTCATACCTCCTCTAGTTAAAGTCAGTCTTTAGAGGAGACGGAACCGAGGCTGACGTACCTTCGATCCATTGAGAGCAGAGCAAATGGCATGTGTAATTGAGTGACAATAGAGATAAATTACCGTGAATTTATACAATTAAGCATAAAGGAGATATTCAGTAAAATTAATAAGACTGTTGTTAAGATTATACAAAATAGTATCGTTGTCAACATGACCACTGCACTTACATCAGCTGTAGTTATTCTCCCCGTTTCAGGGTCTACGTGAAACCTCTCTTTCTCTCCCGGAGTGGAGACGAATTTGTATGTGACTGTGCCTCCCATCTCGGGCGGATCTCTATCTTCTGCGTGTACCTAGAACATTCCAATTATTTAGACAAAATAACCCTAAAATAAAGAAGAAAACAGTAGTAGTCACTGATTTAATTAATTCAGGTAAACCACAAGGAGATACATCTTCATCCTCTCTTCATTTATAAGGCTTCAGTGTTAATATAAAAGGTACGTAAACAGACTAAATTCGTATATTCGTAATTCATATTTGTAAGCTCATTGAGTGTTAAAAAAATAGGAGGATAAAACAGATTTCAGATTTAGACGTAAAATATTAGTTTCCATTGTTCCTCAAGTAAGATTCACATGTGTATATCTTGTTACACGAGCTAGCTTATCACAGATAATAAACCGAAAGATGTAATTTCCATGACCCTTAAAAAAAATTAAATACAAGATTACATTAAGCAAACATAAAAAGCAAATAGACGCAAAAATAATGGAAGGTTATTAAAATATGTCTGATTTTTTCTGTTCAATTTTGCAAGAAAACAAAGAACAAATGGATAATGAATAAATTAAATTATTAAAACACAATAATGGTAAAAAGTTCATAAGAATACTGAATAAAAGAAATACTGAACATTTAGATTATGAACTATATGGATAACTGAATTGTTTTTGGAATTATATACAGTCAATTTCGACAAGCTATATCCGAAATAATAATTTATAAAACAAATGTGGAGAAATATCTCCATATTCTAAAAGAAGGAAATTAAATAATTAAAATATTAAAGAGATTCTGAGATTCCTAGTTTAATGAAATTAATACTAATCTGAAATCATACGTTGCCAAGAATTTTCAATAGTCGCTTTTTTATATGTGATGAAGTGACAAACGAGCAGATCACCTGATGTTAAGTAATAACCGCCGCCCATGGACATTTGCAACACCCGTAGGGTTTGGTACCTTTTAATAAAGTGCCCGGCTACCTCTCTCACCAAACGAAACGCTTAACTGTAATACTTCTACTTCACGCCGGTCTTCTGTGAGGTCCGTCCTGTTGCGTGGACCTACCACAATAACAATAATACCACAGTACCTCATATAACAGTATTTAAACGTGTACTTTCTTAAAGTTTTCACATTTTAAGTAAAAAATTAAATTGTCATTAAAATATTATGTATGCAGGACAGAAAACTAGAAAGTATTCTGTTTATGAAAGATACATATGGTAATTAAATATTTTGAAGTAAAGAACCACGATCTACTTGCAGTGTCATACCAAATAGAATTCATTTTGTTTTATGATACTGGTTTTGTATAATAACTTAGTGTCTATATTAAAACCTTGGTTTCCTCACCGTGAATACGTAAGTCCCAACAGGTTGCTCCTCCTTGACTGTTGGCTTGTAGTTCAAGCACTCTGTAAAGAGTGGTTTGTGGTTGTCCTTCACCGCCAGCTTCGGCGACGTCCCCGGTACGAACTGAAATCGCGTTAGGGCGTGCCCCTACATCGTTATTACGTTCAACATTGCACAATTTCGGAAGCTTTGCAAAGTTCGGCCCATTGCTGAAGATAAAGTTAACATTTCAGTATGATAGCACGACATGCATCTTCATTTCAAGTTTGTCGGGATACTTTATGGATTAGCTGACATCAACGTATAGCAATTCTACGATTTATAAAAAAATATTTAAAATAATCCGAGGTTTTAGAATTTCTTATTATTTGTATACTTATTAGAACCTCTTTTTGTAGAGACATTTATAATTCAGCTTAATGTTCGACACAATTTCAATTCATATTTAATTTCATGCAACAGTCACGGAAACCAGAATTAACTTTTATTTCGATCAGAAATAGGCCATTATTATCGAAATTACCTTTGTCCAATGTTTTTGGTGGCCGCTGAAAGAACTCATGCAGCGGGTATGTGCCAATGGATATACAACAATGTGTAAAATAAGCTGCATTATAGATCATTAAAAAAAAACTAAAAGACAAGTTAAAGCTAATATTATTAACATAATTCAATTGCTTAACGTGTCAAAGAACAGTCCAAAATCTACAAAAGCATTTGGACAGAAGTAATATAATATATTACAAAGAATTTAACACAACATTTTTCTTGAAACAAATACGATATTTACGTTAAAGCATTCAATAATATCAAGATTATCATGCATTAATAGTAATAGAAACTTTCAACAAGAAAAATCACATGTTTACAAAACTAGTATCAACACAAATCGTACGTAACATCGCTTTATGTACCTTCCATTTTCCCTGTAGGCGTTTTAAAAACAACAATTAAATTACATTAGACGTTCTTATCCATTTAGTATTTATTGAGTAACTTACATTCATCCTCGAAAACTTTAATGGAGGTAATAATTGTTATATATAAGGCAGTCGATCGAAATGTCAAATTACGAAATGAAATTCATGCATAACAGTTCTATTTCTCTTATATAATAAGCATGAAAACAATAAAAATCTATGGGGGACGAAGCTTTAAAGGGAAAATGTAGTGTTACGGTATGATTAAATATTTCACAGGAATGATGTCCAATGGTGATGATTTGAACTTACGCCCGAAGTGTGTATAGGTAGGTAGCCATCGAGATGTCTGGAGTGCCGTAACCGGGTCACGTGGTGTGATGTGTGTTCACGGACTGTGGACAAAGGGAGATGAATAAATAAAAACGAACTTGAAATCGGATAAACAATGTACACCTTATTGTTTAAGTCAAAGGTTTGAATTAAGCTAAACACAATGACGCGATGTTCACGCAGTTTCTATTCAACACATTTTGTTAGAAACTAATTGCAAGTTGGCAATCAATCAAAGCAATAATGAGTGCTTTTACTGAGCTCGCGCATTTATCATCAAGGCAGCATAGCCACTTACCATCAGGTGAGCTAGCAGTCAAGCAATAGATAGCTTCTTAGATAAAATAGGAATAAAGAGTTTCTTATATTAAATAACACTTCTTTCTCCTGCCCTGGTCGGCACAAGATGCGAATTATATTGTTACTAGTAATAGCTAGGTTTTATTACCAGCCTCCTGCCGGACGTCAACCTTCCTTGGGAATAACCAATCAAATCCTGATCAATTATTACTTAGTAATACCAAATACTTGTCCTATATACAATACGTGTGAGAATTGGAACCCACGATCACAGGAGCCAAAGCCAGTCATAACCATCGCTTAGTAACTTCATCGAGTCATCATTACTAGTGGTTATAATTCTTTTTTGGGTTATAGGTATAGCAGTTTATCAATTTATTTTATAGTTTATATAAAACTTTCTCGATTAAAAGCAGTAATATAGTGCAAATATACAAAAACTATTTAATTTCTTTGTAAATATTTATAATTCAATCAGAGCTGTCGCCCGAGAGTCTTTGTTGACGGCGAGCTAATGAGCGATAATCTGACTCAGTGAACTACTTCATTTGGCTCAGCTGGCTTAAACCGCTCTTTGAGACAGCTTGTCAATGAGCCACTAATCTACATGGGGTATCGCTATCCGTGCGACATTTCCCGGCTTAAGGGATTTAAATCGTCTATAAGTGCAATACTTCATGTATTTTAATTAGATTGCAGTTTAAGGAATAATAATTGTAGTTTTTGACTTCAACTATGTTTTTCCATATAAGTGATTCTAAAGCCTTTGAATAAATTAATTCAATGTACAAACAGTTGAATGTACAACGATAAACATTACCGATCCTGGGACGCTAAGAGCGTCGGTGGGTAAGCTTCGGCACAACCATTATTATTTGGCTTACATCAGATAAGTAGCTGACTGTTGTGTTTACGTAACAATTAAACTTAACGCGGCTTACATCGCACGCTCCATTACAGTGAGATAACGCGAGGCAAAACTAATTTACCTGGATACAATAACAATATTTAACTTGGATTAAGCCATCCGACGTGTACGGCTGGATCTACGACTGCAATATAGTCTAAGTTAACATTTTCAACGCAAAAGGCAACTGAAAAAGAAAATATAACATGCATACTTTACAACTTTAAACCCTGATGAGGAACATAGAACGTAGTAAGCATTTAGGGGCCATACCATACACGCTTCTTTAGTGTTTAAAGTAAAACCTGGTATATCACGTCGCAGTCTACCTGATAAAAGTAATCCTCATCATAGAACATTAATATATCGTGAAAGCTCATTCACTACTCTCTACTTAAAAGATATTAACCCCTAGTATAATAGTGACCCATATTCACACTAATACTAGGTATGGTGATAAAACAGCCAGTATGTTGGCAAAAATAATCGTCTTAAAAACCATACCAAAATATACGCAGTAGCTGATGTTCCATGAATGGTTGTATATCCTGGAAAGTACTAGAACTTCATAAGCGGCCGGTGTTAAGAAACATTTGTACATTTTCATCCGTCGCGTGGGATGGCCGGCTCTCTTTAATTTGGCAAAGCAAACACCACAAGTGGGCTGTCGTCAGTAAAACTCAATACTAAACACATAAACAGCCCACCTCAGCTGCTACTTACTGGTTCTCTCGCTGTCACCGTTTCCAAATAAAAGAACATTATCGAAAAAGTTTCAATATCGTTTCAAGCGTTGACAGTGTAAGAATCCGATTGCAGCCCGAAGCGCTACGGAGCTTAGAGCCGGATTAGGTGCAGCGAGCTGGCGTATTGCGGACGACGGATGATGTATTCAACCAGAAGTAATCGAATACTGCATACACAGCGGGAGCACTAACGGCGCTGTACACAAAGACGGCGTCAAACGCTTTGTTCGCTGCGCAGATAGACGGGGCGAACTCATTTCGGTTTCTAGGCAACAATCTCTACATATTATTCCTCAAAGGTGTTTCATAATTTTGTTGTCGATACGCCATAACTTTCAAAATTATTAACCTAATTTAATTCCAACACTATTTTAGAGCTTATGTTTGCCGCATTTGACTAAAATTAGTCAGTTATATTATACAGCTTACGTTTGCAGCTAAAGTAGTCAGCTAAGGTTTTCATAAAACAATGCCATCTATAGACACTGTTAAAATTAGTGATAGCGAAGAAGACTGTTCTACACAATAAGATATCTTCAATTGATATACTTGTTTGCTCATTACATTACCATTCGCTGGTCGGTCACGATACTGTTCGAATTTTGCGTGAGTCAACTGCATTAAGTTTTGATGCGAATGTACCTGACAGAACGCCTCGCTTCTGTGTCTCTTTTGCTCGGTAGGTACAGTCGCCGGCGCGAATCCTGTATCGGGAAGCTCGGGCGAGAAAACACGTCCCTACAAAACTAATTGCGTCAACACAGCGGAAGTGTTGGATGAGGTTTTGAAAAGGGTAAGGAAACGGGAGCGCGTCGACATTAACATATTTCATTTTTTCGGCCTCGCCCGACGACAGTATCTTAATAAGAATCTGATGGGTTCTTTTTGTTAATTACATTTAGAAATTACACACTTTATTTTTATAACGCCGACGACGTAATAAATGATCAGATGTTTTCCTTCACTGCTGAGCACGTGATAAGTCAGCACTTAAAGTTAGCATTTAAAACCAGACAATGAGTTATCACGGCTCATACGGAAATAAATACATATTAATGTACATTGCACACACTTTATTACTTATACAAAAATAAGTAAATTATGAAAAGTCATTTATGGAAACAACGACGTCTGTCCTTATTTACTGGATACCATTGTGACGTAATCATTTGCCACACTATTATTAGGACCATAAGCAACTATTTACCACGCTTTTTGCCACCGCGAAAACAATACGGGGAGGCGTAAACAGAAGTGGAAAAGATTGATAGGACTAGTGCGTTGTCACGTGTTACAAAAACTGGGAGTGATTGAAACGTCGGATCGGTTTTAAGCCACGCGTGAGCTTGATTGATGGTGGAATTGATGTGGTAAATTAGGGGGCGTCGAAAGATCCATTTACGGTTATAATCGGGTTTTTACGGTCGCAATTTTGGTAAACGTTCCCCATTAATGGCTATACATATGTAAGTGGTAATAAGCCCAGAGACAAAAAGAAACAAGTCAGAGTTGCTGGTTAATTATTTGAATATTAATTTTATTAATATCTACGCTTAAAGAGTATTAATAGAATATGTAAAATATAAAATATAATGCACTTTAAGAAATATAATATACCCTACTAACATAGAATGTTTTAAAATATAACAGCATATTTTATATATAAATGTATGCCCGATAAGAATCCTGATCGACGACGGAACCATCATTAAATTAAAAGAGTCATCACCAAAAATTAAGATAAATCAAATAAAGTAAGAGAAGAGATTATAAATCGATGATACCGAATGACTCTATAAACAAGCTACATAGGTACGGTAGATTAAATACGTTCTTGGGCGGATTTATTCAGTCCCATGGGACGCTGCCGTAATCGAATCTCGGAAACCAATTTTTAAACACTTTAAGCGGTTTGCGCTGCAAATTTTCACACGTACACCGGTCCATGGCTCTTTATTCTCCACATTGTACAGCTGAACGGCTTTACAGCCTCTTTCAAAAGCGGACAGGAACAAACCAACTAGATTCAACTGATGTTTAGTGATCTGCTCCAATGAACAGATGTTGCGTTCCAAACCACAGGCCGTGACCTCGTAACCTAACTCACCAAACGAATACTTCTGCATTAAGGAGGTCTTCTGTGAAGTGGATGGAGAGATGTCCAAAGATGTTCGAAGTCAAAATTTCTTTACTCAATATAGGCTTGCTTTAAGCTCTATTGAACATCAAAAAATACCACCGTTTGACTAATTTAGACCTGTGCTGAGAAGAAAAACATTAAACGGCATGAAACTCTGCGGTCTTTTTTTAGATGATACCAGAGTAATTTTCACACATTCTTGTGCTCAATATATTCTTCGACATTACTCTCCTACAACGAAGCAACGATATGTGTCATGCAAATCCAAACAAAACATAACATGAACGCCCTAGAGATATCCGAATCCATTTTTCATTAAAAAAATCCCACTGATAACTTCGCTTCTATAATTTTAATAAGGTTTATTAGTTGTGGCGAAATTGAAATCGCGCGTCGATCAATTAAGCGCACAATTCCGTATTCCGTTTGCGACCGCTCTGCGCTATTACCCAGGCACGGCCGCGGATGAGCCGTCCCCGGGGGGCAATCTGTGAGTTTATTGAGCACCTAAGGGGCGAATTGATGTTTGAGAGCAGCGTGCGTTAGTTACAGATGTTCTCGAGTAAAACACGTGATGTGAGAGGGAGATATTAATTAGTTCCATTCATCAATGTACGTGTCGTTACAACCGCGACAGTAAATCAACACACGTCTAAAAGTATTTGCCAATAATGATAAAAAAATATAAAACGTTAAAAAAATCCATAACTAAAAAAAATATTTTTCACACAAACTAATTAAATAAAAAAGAAACAAAATTTGCAACATCCTATACAACTACAACTGACTGATTCATACATTCAGAGACTTTTTCATTTGTTGCCACAGCGTCGCATTAAAAATCTCTCCTTCTAACAGTATGTTTTATCTCTTTTAAATTCATTCAACCCATTCATATACTTTTTGACCTTTACAAATGAACTTTACGTTACAGTTTTATACATAAGGGGATTCTAAAATTGTTCGTTTTGGTAAATTTTATAACTCGGTAAATATTGATGTTTAAATAATGTAAATGTTTAATATAATTTTTAAAAGTTATCCTATATATGTGTGTTTATTTATTGAAGCGGTTGTAACGACACGCTGTATCCTAGCGGATCCCACAGATGTTGTACGTCCTGTACACACTTCTTAAATCTGACAACCACTTATAAATAAAAATAAAAAACAAAAAGAAAACGGTGAGTCAAATCCATTCTCGCATCGACCTTAAGACACACAAAAAATTTCATTAAAATCGGTCCAGCCGTTTAGGAATATACACAGCACACAATACAGATAATATACACAGCACAGAAGAATTATACATATAAAGAAAGATATTCGGGTATCTAATAAGGAAGGAATACACAGTGCAGTACGATAGTACAGTCTAGACAGCCTAGTTTTAAATCCCTACAGGAAAAAGACCATTGTCTCATCGAACAAAGAAATGGAATAAAGTGATTATTAACTGTGGTAGGGCCACGACTGGTTCGTGGCCCTACCACAGTTCTTCGCTGTTGCACGAATGGAAAAGCCCGTCCGGGGAATTACCACGACCTCACAGAAGACCGGCGTGAAGTGGAAGTATTATACTTCTGCGTTTCGTCTGTTAAGTGAGGTAGCCGGGACCCATTTTATTTAAAGTTGGAATCGCTTCTGGAACCTTACGGGTGTTGCAAACGTGGATGGGTGGCAGTTATCACTTAACATCAGGTGAACCACCAGCTCGCATGCCACCTTCTCTCATAAAAAATGCAACCTACTTGGGTACAATACAAGTGAATAATTCACAATTTACGCCAAAGGTAGTAAATGAAAAATATTGTGAAGTACATACATACTTATATTCATAACAAGCGTAACACGACAAAGTATTAACTAAGACGAACTTAAAGAGATACAAACTTTGACCCACACGAAACGATTTTATTCAATTCAAAAAGCCAATTTCATTTGTCACAATGAACTTTTTGACTTAAAGCATGATTTCAATTTTCTTCGCGACGGAGCGAAGTTACACTAATTTGTAAAGTGTCAGAATATTCGAAGGTAAATTTCTTCGGCCTTCGCGGAGACAAATAAAAAAGTGGTTTCATCTCCCGCATTTAAATCGTTTATTCGTCCAGAAAAACGTTCAACCTAGGCCGAGCTAATAAAATTTAATAAAAATATTGTAGATGAAAAGTGTATTACATTTAAAATAAGTATTTCAGATGGACATAGGAAAGGAATGATATACGTCGCAGTCTTTACTACATCTATTAGAGGCATTGACAAAAGTCTATACTTTAAAGTTTAGTAATAAGTAAAACAAGTGAATGCTGTAACAAAGGTAAGAAAAAATGTTAACTTGATATTAATCATGTATAGCGTTAGTACGTTATAACCGTGATAGCTCAGGGTCCGGGCGCTCGCCTTTAATTCAATTTACACCAGAGTTCGATCCCCGGTGCACCAAAAAAATTGTTAATTTTAAGTGCTGACTTATCACGTGCTTGGCGGTGAAAGAAAACATCGTGAGGGAACCTGCATATTTTCGAAATAATAACAAAAAAAAGTATTTCGAAAATATGTGAAGTCCGCCAATCCGCAGTGGGGCCGCGTGGTGGACTATGCCCTGATACCCTCTGTACAGAGGAGGTCTTTGCCCAGCAGTGGTACATTTATAGGCTGTTACTTCACTTTTTTTTTAGAATCTGTACACTACTAAGACATATTCACAAACATAAATTCGCACATTTTTACATATTGTATCCACCATTGCATATTTTCATCATTATCTTTTACGCAAAAAGTGAAACAAATCAACACTGACTGATCTTGGAACGTGGATATCTAAGCGAGATCGATTATTCCTTCTGATTCCTTCTAAGCCAATTGAAAAGCTCTAACTCCGCTACTGGTGTGTTAGTAAGAAAGGTCCAAGACATAATTATGTAGGTGTAAAAAGAGATTTGCCTTCGACACTTAACTCCATTTAAGACGAAATAACCGTTAAAAAGTAAGCCGAAGACAAAACAACCTCAGCCGAACCCTCGGAAAGAATGGTGTGAGCGTTACTTCGCTTATTATTCATTTATGTTAAAAAGATCGGGCCTGAATTCCACGGGAGCAGGCGGAGACAATGGCGTGACACTTAGCAAGATCTTGACATACTTCTTTCGTTTCACTAACATCCTTTTCATTCAAATCCTTTCATCTCATTGCTGACAATTTAATTACTCCATTTGTAAGGAAGCATAACGTTGAAGGGACCTTTATCTTTCTTTCAATGAATGAAGGTTATTGAATGATAACAGCGTCTGCTAAAAAAACTTAGGACTTAATAAGCTTGGTAAAATATTTACATTGTCTGTTGGGAATGTCAGTATTTTATTCGTATCATGCACGCAATATCCGTTTTTAACTTAGTATCTTTATATCATTTCTACTCGTACATACGTGTTCATTTATAACAGCTCGAAAGTTACACACGCGAGATCTTATGACCTAGTTACAATACTATATACAATACAATAATATAATAATATATAATAATACTATGTCTTTAGGGCTCTAAGGCGTTTTAATAACTACCCTTTTCAGAGGTGTAGCAGCATTTGATCTTATGTTTAACTTTGGAAATGATCACCGAAAACGTCACAAAATCACGAGTAGTGAACATATAAAATTTTTTTCTGTTTATAAATATATTGTAAAGTTTTGTTACAATATATATTGTAAATTAATATTATATATTGTAAATATGTTATAAATATATTGTAAATTTTCGATAAAAACACTATTATTAACCATTAAAAAGACTATCGTCGGATGACAAGTCTACAATTTTTTTGGGGCAATACTTTTAGGTGAACATTGTTGTTATGATGTTTACAAGCATAAATTTCACGTGGACAAACACCTAGACCCGAAAGAACTATCCGTGGGTCACACAAACAGTTGTCCCGTATGGGAACCGAACCCACGAGCCCCGACGCCGAAGCCAATGCCTTGTGAACATGTGTTTCTTGAATCAAACATGTGTTTCTCGAGGCACCTTTATTTAGTTTCCTTTTGATATACGAAGGACTATTGGAGCAAGTAAGTTGAAGAGAAAGCGGCAGAGCGTGTATCTTCCATTGTGTTGTGGTTGTTTGAATATTGTAGCGTGGGTAAGTTTTGCCGATGTCGACCGATCGAGAGTTTCTTTCCCATAAGCGGCTTACAAACTAAATGCGACCAAGCAGTGATCATAATTTGGGTTACGTTCACTGAAAAGAATTCTCTATTGCTTAAATGATTCGAACTTACATTTGTACACATTTACTGGGTTATCCGTGTAACTAACTCAGTTTAAGTAAAAACTTGGGATATGTAAAAAAGTCTGCTTTGTCGAAACAAGTAGTTCTATAGTTTTTTCTTTGATATAATATATGTAAAATATGCTATGTTTAGTTCCATATATTGGGGGACAAATGCGAGACATATTTTTTTTTTTTATTTTAACCCTTAGACAAAATTTACAATATAAAGAAGGTTTTTGGAAAATGTAGCGACAATTATTATAAACTCGTTTAGATTATTCAGCCACTTGCTAAAATATCATAAAGTAAGCATACTGTATCAAAGAAATTGGTAATTTTTAACGTAGCCTAAGAATTAACACGAGACGCGGCGCTTATTTATTTTTGGAGAAATTCGACGTTGAGCCATTTATTTCCGCTAGCCTTGTAAAGGCATTGACATTGTAATTAATGAAGCCCTTCAATTAAACACGTCCTTTTCTACCGACAGGCACTTATCTTGGTCTACGCGAGAATTTTGTTTCTTAATAAAAGTGGACAAAATAGCACTTCAAATTTTATCGACAGTCAATATCGACATTTATCGGCAAACGGTTGGACAACACTAGAGTGGGGAACATTTAGGTTGGTTTCTTTTGATAAAGCCATCGAAGGTGAGAAGGGGCTTGGTCCGTTATCGGCCGCAAGATAACGGCCGCCGTTAAACATCGAG